TTTTACAATTCAACTGCAATCAACTACATAACCAGCAAGCCGACAGCAACTGTAGATCAATGACTAATTTCATGTATTTAATTATATTTTCCCCTTAGCAATATTTTCTTGGTAAATTTACATATCTACAGGAAGATACTTGTATCAGGAGGTTTAGGGAGAAAATCAGCTAAAAACTGCATTTTCCTTTGATCAAATTTCCTTTCATGTCAAGTCATATAAAATTTATATTGCTTAGAGCAAATGGTAATGAAAAGGTAACAAGGAAATAGATAGGATCTCTTGTATTAGGAAAGCATAGATAGCTAATAGTTTTGGAATGCACAATCAAATTTATAGATTCATCAAATTTAGCAGATAGCAGCTTTCTGAAAGTAGGAAGCACCTCTATGTCATGATGGAGGAGGGATTGACCTGCTTGTCCTAGTATTATTTTCCCAATGAATTTTCTCAAAGCGATTTTCTTTATTATTAGAACAAATTAGAAGTATTCAGGCTGCAGGGATAAAAGGCTGTTTGGTACTGGTTGCTGGGGAATTTGGTTGAAAGAGTACATGAGCATACATGTCCTGATTGTTAGCTTCTTATTTTCCCATAAACATCTGTCTTCCACTGGAGAAGAATCTGCTACTATTCTTCATTACCAGTCTTAAATTTTATCCCTAGCAGCTATTTAAGGCAAGATATAAAATCATGGAAATCTACCTTGTCTTGTGGGATCCCAATATATATAAACTTAAAAATAAAAATTTATAAGATGTACATATTTTAGTTTTGCTATTTTGTATTTTCAGGAAGGAACATATGTAGAGCAGATGAATTCCTTTGCAACAATTCACTCTGTAAACTCTATTTTTGGGTTTGTGATGGAGAAGATGATTGTGGAGATAACTCAGATGAATTTCCTGAAATATGTCGTAAGTTTGTGGCCTAGAGCCCACAAAAGCATAAGCAATAAAATATTCAATAACAAATTCTCTGTAGTTGTTGTTTTCTTCAGTGCTGTTCTTCTTTTCCTTTGTCTTTAATTTGTATAAGAAGAATATTTATGTCTTGAGATTACAGGTTGTATACATTACATTTGAAGCAGGCAACATTTTGTGAAGATACTCAATATGTTCAAAGAGAGTTTCTCTTTATGACTCAGGAGGAACATAATTGAAAGAACTTTCCAGCATATTTTCTCTTATCTAGTAGAAATTATTAACATTCAGTTACAAGTGATATTAAGGAGAAAGTATATCTAACAGTTTAATTATATTTTCCCTGTTTGATGAAAGAAAAAAAATATATATGTAAAAGACGTATTCTCTGCAGAACCAAATAATACACATTTTGGATTTTTTCACAGTAAATTTTCCATGCCCTCCAACCAGGCCGTACCGATGCAGAAATAATCATGTTTGTTTGAAACATGAGCAAATTTGTAATGGGATTGATGACTGTGGTGATGATTCAGATGAAGATCATTGTGGTAAATAATCGTAGTTTTACAATCAAGAAAAAAACAGTCTTTTTTGGGGGGAGGAACCTTTCTTTTCTTATCGCGTTTTCCCCAAAAGTAAGACCTACCCTGAAAATAAGCCCTAGCTTGATTTTTTTGAAGTGGGCCTAATATAAGCCCTATCCCCAAAATAAGCACTAGTTTTGTGCCAAGGCGCATGCCTAAAAATCAAACTAAGACGGGGGTGGAGCTTACCATTGCAGCCAGGCCTCCCATGGATCGATACTTGCCTCGCCGGCCCACGTCTTCTGCAGTTGAAGGAAAAGCTTCATTCTGCAGCTGAGAATGGAGCTGCTCCTTCAGCTGCAGAAGAAGTGAGGCAGCTGGGCAGGGTTGTCAGCGCTGCCACTGCAAGGTGAGTGAAAAAGTCCCTCCCCTGAAAATAAGACCTGGTGCCTCTTATTTTTGGGAAAACACAGTAAAAACTGAGACTATAACTCACAGATCTCTAAAGATGGCTTGGTGGCAGAATTCATTTTAGCATAATGGTGGTACAATAAGAGCATTAAATTCTCCTTTGGTAGCTCTCACGTACTGTAGGTGTAAAGTAATAGCGCTCATTTGTATTTCCAGAATAGGAATCATACTGGTATTCTCAGCAGTAATTGGTATCCAAATGGCTCTTCAGAAACCTAGCTACCAGTTCAATATTGTGCTTCTGATCTTGCTTAATTTTGTTGTAGGTTGTTTTTTTTTCTTTATTGAAAGAACATTAATTGGACTGAAAGCTTTTGCTCAATAGAAAGTATTGTTCATGCTGAGGCCAGCGAAACATTGTATAAAATCAGTTTGACCATCAAATCTGAATAACTCCAAAATGACTAAACTAAAATAAATGACTAAATGACGATGTCATCAGGCAAATGCTGCCGTTATGTAATGACATATAAATTATGACATTTGACTGATGATGTCAACATGCACATTTTCTATTTCATCCCCCATGGACATTCATGTATCTAGCCATCCCAAACATCTAGAACTTATTCTTTTTCTCCATGTCAAGAGATTGGGAAATAAGTGTGTTTGACTGATTATGTGCCATTAAGTTGTTTTCAATTCCTAGTGGCCACATAGGTAATTTTTCTCTATGATAAGGAAAACACATCCCTTCACCTTTTTTGTTATTTCTTTCATTTGACATTCAGTTGCTTTAAACTGATATGGTGGCAGAACCCTACTTCAGATGAGTATTGTCTTTACAGTATGTGAAAAGCAACTATAATAGTGATCCTGCTCCCTACCTGTCAATGTGCATTCAGCCTGTTCAGTACCCTTTTGCTGGTTTGTTGTCTTGAATTTACGAATAGAGCAGACATCACTCTGTGAGTAATGTATTTCTCCTTTAGGCAATTGTAATATTGAGATCTGGGGCCTCATATTCTCTGCCCCAGGAGCAATAGAAAGCCTTTATTATTTTATGAGTTCTACACAGCAGGCACCTTCATGTCCAGGAAACTGCATTCTGTAAAGCCTTTTGCATTTATTTTATGAATAACAATAATATCAAAGGCTAAAAAGAGTTGACTGCCCTCGTGTGTCTTTTTGCAGACAAAACTACATATAAAGCCCGACCTTGTAAAAAGAATGAGTTTGCTTGTAGTAATAAGAAGTGCATACCTATGGCACTAGAATGTGATCAGTTTGATGACTGTGGAGATGGTTCAGATGAACAAGGCTGTAAAACAAGTAAGTTTGATTAAGAGATGGTCAATTTTTTATGCCCAAGAACAGAAAAAAATACAGAATAGAATTTGAATAATCTAATCGATCTTAATTTTGTATCAATGTGAATAGTACAAACTAAGCAACAGTTATTTTATGATAGACCTAACAGTGTAATTCAAATTATAACTATTGATATTTTACATATATGTTCATGAGGTTGATTCATTTATGGAATTTCAATGCTTCAACCATTATGTTATCACTGCCAGATACCCCATTGTTCTTCCTGTTTCAAGAATGTAAAGTTATTTTGTTGCATGTGGCTTGGTCTCCAACTTGCAGTGTTAGTTGTATAATGGATTTTTTACAGCTTCCTTTGAAGTTGAGAAAAATAATATTGTGCTAAAGTGTCACAATTGTCTATTAATATTTATACAGTGTATAATACCTGGATGCAGTACATTACAAATCTTTGCCTCAAATGTCCTCTATTTCTTGAACCAAAAGGAGGAAAATAGTTTTCAATGCATATAAAAGTGCTTTTTGATTTAAGTTTTTTATTACTTCAGTCCTGGACACTAAAAAATGAAAAATACGCTAATCATCTAGTCACATAGAGAAGAATGGTAAAGAAAAGGAACAAATGAGAATGTTAATCCTTAAAGGAAGAAAAAAAATAAAGACTGTGATATAGATCAGAGCATTGGGATCAACAATTGTATAGGACATTGTTTAATTAAAATATGAAATTAGTGAGGAATACTATTCAATTTGAATTTATTTGTGATTTGAGAAAATAGTTTTCCTAGGCTGTAATAGAAAGTATCATAACTGTAGATTCTTTGGGTACCCTCCCCAAAAAGAATGAATGAAAAAAGGGATGATAGGACTTTTAGAGATCATCAACCCTCCCAAATGTCTATGGGAATATTTCCAAATTTTCACCACAGTATATTTAAAAAAAAAATCATCATACTTTAAAAAAAATAAAGATATGGTAGGGAATGAGGAAAAATAGTATATAACCATCAACAACAACTTATTTCCTAGATATTTTGTTCTCTTTGCCTGATAAGAATTAATGGGGGAGGAAGAAATAATGGATCCTGAGAATGAAGAAACAGTAAAAAAAAAGAAAAAAAATTGCTGATATTCTCAAAGGAAAAATGCTCGTTGCTCTAGTCTAGGGCATATCAATTAAACTCATTTATGTTCAAAGTTGATCTCTGTTTAAGGTTCCAATAAAATATGCAAAGTCATTATATTTGAGATTCTGCTGGCTATCTCCTTTGCATATTTTATACACTTTAGTATATAGTGGGAAACAAATTATTACATTAAATTTAACGTATTCCATCTGATACATAGAAAGGCCAATCATCCAATAAAAATGTGTACATTTGAATTTTTAGAATTCATTTCCAACATCCAATTCATTTTGGTTCAGACCTCTTTGGATTTGTCCTCGGGTCTGAATATATGGTCTGAATCATATTTAAAAATAGATTCCTTGTAGATATTCCACGTATTTCTCTCTCAATTTATTTTAATATCTATATACATGCACACAGATACACAGAGATACACATTTAAAAAAACGTTAAAAACAAAACACTAACTCATACATTTTCAAAAATGTAGGAAAGAATAAAAAAAGGATCCTAGATTATCAACAGTCATTTAGGTAAGTTGCAGCATATCTCCATTGAGGTTATCTTCCTTACTCTCTAACCCAGTTTAACATATTTAGTGTCAAATTTAGTTAAGAAATCCAACCAATAAAGTCCTTCCCAGAGGCAATGAAATCACAACCACTCCTATTTTGAAAGTCTTAGTTCCTTTTACCCAGAACCCCCGAACAACCTTAGTTGTTTCTGTTTAGAAACTCTAAAACCTGGAGCTAGTGCATAGAGATTGAAAGAAGATTAATCCTTTCCCAACTTCTTTCTTTGTTTTATCAACCAATTCCCCTCAGAGAGTTGAAAAGCAAAATAGGAACAGTAGAGACATTGCAGGAGTACCTTCTCATTCACCTGAAAAAGTGATAATTGCTTAATCATAAATTAGGCATTATTCCACATTTGGATGCGATGGCGGATCGTGGTTAAAGTAGGTTAATCTATAATAAGCTATTGTTACAAACTGTGGTAAAAGTACTGCTCCATCGCCTATGCTTACTGGCTTAACATGTTGCATTAACTGAGTCATTCAGAAACTTCTAATTTGGAATAATAGGGAGGGGATTCAAGAGACATGCTGATCCTCCAAACTGTTGAAACATGGAGTTACAGCTGAAATAGTTCCAAGCTTGTTTCAATCAAAATAAGTTCTGTGATACTCTGCTTTTTCTTAAGATCATATAAAAATAACTTCTGTTAAAATAAAATTTTGAAATATTATGTCTTTGTGTACTAAATTTTGCTTGTAGAAAGAATTGTGATTGTTCATAGTTAGTATAAAAATGTTAAAAAGTTTTATTTTGCAAACATTTAAATTTATGTTTGTTCTTAGGCTTGACTGAATACAACTGTGAAAATAATGTGAATCCTTGTGGTGATGATGCATATTGTAATAAAACCAAATCATCAATTTTCTGCCAATGTAAGCCTGGATTTCAGAGGAATAGGAGAAACTGGCAATGTGAAGGTATTTCTGAAGCACTGCTTTGAAACATTCTAAAAATGTTTCATAACATTACTATATGATGTTAGAAGTTAGATTTTAATAACAGTTAAAGTATAGAGGAAGTCGTTTCATTTGTGGCAACTGGAATTACAGGGTTTTTTTTTAATTTCTCCTGCAAGTTAAGCAGTCAAAATATCATGAACATTTTTTAAATAGCAGGAAGAATTTAGTTGGTTTTGTTATTTCTTGGAAAAATGTTCCACCTAAAACACCTTAAATCAGTCGAAATAAAACTCCAAATAAAAGTATGACTGGTTTAAGAGTTATATTAATTATAACGCAATAGCTCCTTAAACATAGTAGTCTGGAAAAAGAAGAACTGTTTTTCCAAATATACACTGCTGTTTTTTATATGTTCTTTGAAGTATGAAAATTTCAAATCTGAGAGTTTTTGGATTCATTTCACATGAATTTACCAGTCTATATCAAATATGCTCTTGGTGTCTTATGGAATATTTATAATTTGTGTTCATGCGTATGGTGACTGTTAAAATCTTCAATATTCTGTCAGCTAGAATTCAGGAAATTTGAAAATGCTGAAATGTTTTCCTGATTGTACATGGATCAAAGATAAAAGCCTGCAGATTGTATTTATGCCTATGATCAATGGTGGAGAATTAAAAGGGGGGAAAGCAGCACCAGTGTAGTATGGTGTCACATAGAAAAATGTAGCTTGCATCATGATATGCAATACTGCTTTCAGCATTTTGAAAAACGCATTGGTTCCTATGGATATCTATGATTATGATACATTAACCCAGGCTTGCACAGTTTATGTTAGATGGAGAGCATCCCAGGTTATGTACTACATCAGTGGTTCTCAACCTTTTTAATGCCGCGACCCCAACCGGTCGTAAGTCGAGGACTAAACCGGTCGTAAGTCAAGGACTAAACCGGTCGTAAGTCGAGGACTAAACCGGTCGTAAGTCAAGGACTACCCAACCGGTCGTAAGTCGAGGACTTTCCCTGCCCGGGAGCGCCGCGCATGCGTGGTTATGCCCCCTGCGCCGGCCGAGGCGTAGCTGGCAAGTGGCAGAGACCGAGCAGGCCGACCACCAGCTGGCCCAGCCCAAGGGAGGTAAGGCACCCACCGGAAAAGGGGGGAAAAAATGCCGGACAAAAAAAATGGCGGACAGCCTTGCTTGGCGACCCCCGTGAAATGGTCGATCGACCCCAAATGGGGTCCCGACCCACAGGTTGAGAACCACTGTACTACATGAAAAGGGCTGCATTCTAGAAATGAGCAGATCCAAGGCCATAGCCTTGGTCCAATTAAATATAGGACTTTAGAGTTTAATGATGCTTTACAGAAATGGCTGTTTGGCTGTATTTTTTCTATCAGTGCTTTATACTATTAAAATATTGTTTATGAATTGTTTTGAACTATGTTAAATTTGTTTCCAAATTTTAATACCACCTGGCCCATCTTTTTGCAACAGCTTATGTATAACTTGAAACAAATAATAAAGAATTTTCTTTTCTAGATATCAATGAATGTCTAATATTTGGCATCTGCTCACAGCTCTGTATCAATGTAAAAGGGTCATATAAATGTACCTGTGAAAAGAACTATAAAGAGAAAAACAGTAGCTGCATTGCAAAAGGTAAGCTGACAAAAGAATCCATGATATTGGTGCACACAGCAATCATGACTCTTTTGTGCACAATGGCATTGTAAATAAGCATACAACAGGGCATAATGAAAAAGTATTTTTCTTCTGTTTCTACCCCTTAATTGAAACAAAGCAGTATGGTAATTTTGATGACAAACCATTTCTTTTATAATCTGATTTGAAATTTTTCACAGTCCTGCATATGATAGAAAATGTGAACAGATCTACTATTTTTCTGACCATGCTAATGCATTGTTTCACTGCATGGCATACTTGTCTGGGACTGAGGAAGAAAGACAAAGCATTGTTAAACTTTACTGGTATTTTCTGTGTGTGCATGCTCAAAAAAGGAGCACACAGAGAAAGTTTTTCCTCAGGTTCCTATTTGAAATTGAAAGCCTTAAAATCATATAATGTAATTTCGCTGTTTCTGTTTTAAGAAGAAGAATTGCTTATGCACCTGAATTTTGTTAATATATATTAAATCTTGCATTTATTACACTCATTTAATTACTGAAAGCAATAAATTAAAAAGTAATTTGTTTGAAGTTCTTGATTCAAACCATATGATTCGCTTGGAAAATAGTATTATCTCCTGTCAGCCTCCATTGATTGTAATAGACTATTTTCTGTGAATAGAAATAGCAGTTTCTCAGAATGGTTAATCAGAATCCCAATCCTTTCCTTAAATACACTAATACCTTGATTCTAGAGACACATAAATTCTGTTTGAAATATTGCTAATATTACTGAAATTCTTTAAAATGATTCAGATATATCCCCTGGTGAGGAATCAACAAGTTTCCTTTTATTTCTACTTTCACATACATTTAGACTATAATGGAAACTTCATTGGATTACTAATATTTATACATAAAACTTGCAATTTTAGATAATAAAACTGTACAACTGCCGTGTACTTTCCATTATTTATTCTTAAAATATTTCACAGCACCCTTCATTAGTAAATATTCCACAGCAATTTACATAAATGAAATAGTGGAATTTTAAGATACAAAACAAGCAGCCATTTACTTAAAGCTATTGACCTTTTTTAAAAAATTGCCTGAAAATAACATATAGTGCTTGGTATCTGAAAAAAAAATGTTGGCATCAAATGAATGTCTTAGGAAAACCTCACAAGTCATCTGAAATTAAACTCTTTTCTTCTAGCTGCTTCTCTGAAAAGAAGAATCCAACAGTGTGGTCTAAGATTACTCCTCTTCAAATAAGTCTATTTGAAATTTATAATTTACTCAAAAATATAGAAAGCATATATAAAACGTTAAAATAAATGAATTGCCTTTCTTTTTAATAGTTGAAATTTACTTTATTTTTGTATTTCATTACAATAATTTCCAGGCTCTGAAGATCAAGTTCTCTACATTGCTAATGACACTGATATCCTGGGTTTTGTATATCCATTCAACTACAGTGATGTTCATCAACAGATTACTCACATTGAACATAACTCAAGAATAACTGGAATGGATCTGTATTATCAAGGGGAAATTATTATTTGGAGTACTCAATTTAATCCAGGAGGCATTTTCTATAAAAAGGTCAATGGGGGAGAAAGAAGACAAAGCAGTAGCGGTGTGATAGTAAGTCAACAATGCTGAGATATTTTGCATGTTTTTATTTTGGAATTCTTTTTTTTTCTTTTTTCACGTAAACGTGACAGTTTCCAAATACAAAAAGTTCCAGATAACTTAGAATTCCAATTCTTTGTCCTTGTTAACCCCAGTAAGTCAGTATAGATTTACAATAATATGAAGCCATGGGTTGTATTGTGGTGGTGGCGTAATGGTTAGAATGCAGTATTGCGGGCTAATTCTGCTGACTGCCAGCAGTTCGGCAGTTCGAGTCTCACCAGCTCAAGGTTGGCTCAGCCTTCCATCCTTCCAAGGCTGGCAAAATGATGACCCAGATTGTGGTAATAGGCTGACTCTGTAAACTGTTTAGAGAGGGCTATAAAGAACTGTGAAGCTGTATATAAGTCTAAGTCAGTGGTTCTCAACCTGTGGGTTGGGACCCCATTTGGGGTCGATCGACCATTTCATGGGGGTCGCCAAGCAAGGCTGTCCGCCATTTTTTTTGTCCGCCATTTCCCCCCTTTTCCGGCGGGTGCCTTACCTCCCTTGGGCTGGGCCAGCTGGTGGTCGGCCTGCTCCATCTCTGCCGCTTGCCAGCTACGCCTCGGCCGGCGCAGGGGGCAGAACCACGCATGCGCAGCGCTCCCAGGCAGGGAAAGTCCTCGACTTACGATTGGTTGGGTAGTCCTCGACTTACGACCGGTTTAGTCCTCGACTTACGACCGGTTTAGTCCTCGACTTACGACTGGTTTAGTCCTCGACTTACAACCGGTTGGGGTCGCGGCATTAAAAAGGTTGAGAACCACTGGTCTAAGTGCTATTGCTATTGTACCTGGAACTGATTTTTACTGTGATTAAAAAAAATGTCTTCTTCAATGTGAACCTGTTTATAATTATAATCACCTTAAGAATAAAAATATTTACACTTGTTGGAGTTTGATAGGTCATGACCAAATAATATAGATATTTAGTGCCTGTAAAAGGTGCCACCCTGGGAATACTTCTTTGTTGCTATAATACAGATATTATCAGAAGAGAATATATATAGCTCAGGATTGAACTGTGGGGTCCTTGGTGCTCTCTGAGTTTGGTTGTTTTCTTGCAGACTAGGATGCATTTACCCAAGTAGGTAACATTCAGTGCTAGCTGAAGATGTTCAGTGGTGGCACTGAAGCCATTACCTAATCAAGTGCAAACAACCAAGCTCAGAGAGTGCCAAAAACTGCATTTGATACCAATGTTTTTATTTCTTTGTATGCCCAAATATCTCCTACGTAGGCTGCAACAAGCAATATAGTAGATTTCAGTACTTCTCAGCTTTAATGCTGTTTATTATCATGTTATTTCTAATTAACAATATCCTGATTTGGCCAATTATTGGTGTCCTGAATATATCACAAAGAACTTGTTGGAATGCCTTCCCTTTAAGGGAAGGGTCAGCAGTGCAATTGTGGCAGGTAGGACACTTAGTCCACGTTTCACCATTTTTTTACAAATATTAGAAGAATTCTATTGATTCTCTCAATAGTGCAGTTATCTTGAAGCACATATCATTCCCTGCAGTAGTTTCTATAATGCCTTTTGAGCATTCTAAGTTCTTGTCTGAGAAAGTTCTGTGTATGCAGTGTGTGAGTGTGTGTCTGCAGAACTTTAGACTTCCCAGAGATTTGTATACTTAAGAAGGTAAGCATGAGCCTATTTTCTCTTCATCTTACGTGGATTTTAGTGAAATTTGGTATTTTTCACTTTCATTTCTATTTTATTTTCATCTCAAATAGATTGTGATAACAGTAACAACAATAAAAACAACAAATGTTTTGGAATAGCATAATTATTTAACATTTTATTGCTTAAATGTTTTGAACTTTATTTGAATTTATTGATAGTTATTAATAAAAACAGTCATGTGTAAACAGATGTACACAAATATTCCTACAGAAATGATTACTCAAATTAATAAGATTTGTCCATTTATCTAAATTATATTAAGTGATTGTAACTGAAGCTAGTAATACATCAGTCTTGAAATAGTTATTCTATATTGTATTTATGGTGCATATTTATACATTAAATTGTAACTTTAAAATTAAAAAAAAAAATGTAGATATTGAAGCAAAAGTCATTGTTTCCTGTACATTATTTATATATCAATGAATATATTCCTAACAATTTAAATTTAAGAATAGAAGAATTAAAAAAAAATAAGAATGGTATATATTTGTATATTAAAATTGCAGAAAAATATGCTGCTCTGGAAAAGTATTTAAGTCGGGTAAGCCTCAGGTGACTTTCTTCTGTTCCATGTTGGCTTTTCTGTGAACAGTGAAGACTCTTTGAAAGAGAGAGAATATCTCTATAATAGCCCAGAACCATAGTTGCAAGTCATGGCAGTTTTAAAGAATGTCACCATGTATTCTGATTTGATTTTAGGACTGCATCCTGGCTTTGCCAGGCACAGTCATTAAAGTGAAAAAAACGAAGAAGAAAAAAACCAGCTTGCTGAAGGGGGACAGGCAGCTCCTCTCCATGCACAGATTCAACCTTCTTTTCTCCAGCCCAGAGCTGCATTCCCCTCGTATCTTCTGGAGACATTCTGCCCAATACAAGGCAAAATAAATCTGTTAGGTAGACCTTTTGTTCTCAGAGTGAAAAAGTCAATTTTCACCCAGCCTCCTTGACAGCAAAAATGCTGCTTAGTGGAGAGATTCACTGGAGTCCATTTTCAACCAGCCTCATAGACAGGAGATTCCGCCCAGTGGGGGACAAAATCATTGAAGCAGTGCTTTTGCTATCAAAAATGGCTGAAAAAGATCCATCCTGAGACGCAAGCAGAAATCCAAGCTTGGATTTCAGGATGGACTGTTTTCACCAACCTCCAGGAATCAACCAGGCAACTGCAGCCTGCTATCTTCCCTGCTGAATTCCTTGTTGATTTTGTGGGGTAGCCAGTAGGAAAGATTGCAGATGGCAATCACATGATTTCAGGATGCTTGGCAACCCATCATTAGTGTAAGCTGATTGTCAAGTGCCCAAATTGCAATTACATGACCATGAAGCGCTGCAACGTCTGAAGGTTAGGCAATGGTTGTAAGTTCCTTTACTGTTGTAATTTCAAGTGGGCTGGGCAGGACTGGAGCCTCCTGTCAATACCAACTAGTACTAACCCCAGAGGAAGGAGGAGAATCAGCACAACACTGTGCTGCCAAACCCCAACTTTCAAGCTGGTCCAGAAGGATACCATGATCAGTGGTATAGAAGGCTACTGAGAGGTCAAGAAGAGCAAGGATGGATGCACTAACCCCCTCCTGCTTCTGCCAGTGGTCATCCAAGAGTGAGATCAATGCTATCTCAATTCCATATCCAAGCCTGAATCCTGAGTGAAAGGGATCCAGATAATAATCTGCTTCATCCAGAACCCTATGAACCTGCTGTGCAACAACTTTTTCTACAACTAACCTGGGCATTTTATGGCCCCCAGGCCACATCTGACCCTTTAGCTGTCCCTGTCCAGCCTGCATGAGGTCAATCAGAAATCAGAAATTAAATGTGAATAGGTGTGCTGCAGGAGGCAAGAGAAGAGGCTGAGTCGAGTTCAACTCTGCACAGTTGTGGTGCGCTCCTTCAGTCGATTGGCTGAGTTTTTTCACCTGTTTGCTAACCCTGTCAATTGATACTGCAAATCCCATTTGTAGTATCATTGCTACTATATGGTCCCTTTAGAGCTATCCTTTGCTATATATACCCGTAAAGAAATTATGAAATGGCAATTGCAAAATCTTAATGGCTTAAAAACTATATGAAAGGCAAAAAATATAATATGCAAAGCAATTGTGGCAATCTATGAAGCATAAACTATTTTTGGAGAAAAATAAATTTGAAGTCATCATAACCTATTAAAATATACAAATATTTATACTTTAAATGTTCTTCCAAAGTCAATGTTAAAATGCTAGGTTTCTTTATAGATCAATCAGATCAAATAAATATATAGCAGACCAATTTTAAACATCTATTTTTTTGCTTTCTTTCTAGTGTCCTGAATTCAAACGCCCTAGAGACATTGCAGTTGACTGGATAGCTGGAAACATTTACTGGACTGATCATTCCAGAATGCATTGGTTTAGTTATTATACAACTCATTGGACAAGTTTAAGATATTCCATCAATGTGGGACAAATAAGTGGACCAAACTGTACAAGACTCCTTACAAATATGGCAGGAGAACCATATGCAATTGCCGTAAATCCTCTGAAAGGGTATGTTGTTAACAAGAACTTTTATGATAGGCATTATGTTAGGCATCATATAGTGCAAATGCCTCTGGAAAGACATAGCTCCTGTGTTTGCTTGGTCCTCCTCTTCACAGAGAAGAAAATTAGCCCTTTCTTGCCTGCTCCTTTACTTGTTGACAAATTCTCATTTAAAATTACTCAAAATGCAAATTCCCTAGGAGATCAGCGAGAATGACTTTAACATTTTAATTTAAATAATAGCCAGTTGAATAGTCCAATGGAGCCCGGTAAAAAGCAGAAATATGAATATATAGAAGTCTGAAATAAACATTTTTAATACCAAAAATAATATACAGGAGAGCACTGAAAAGTTGCTTGGGGGCCAGAGTCATAGATCTTTTCTGAAAGGGCAGTGATCAAAGTCAAACTAAAGACCACTGCAAAGCCTGCAATAACTGCATTTAACTTTGTCACAAAACTGATATTGCCCCATATATTTCTGTTTTCAGTACTTGTTTCACTTGAGCCTGATTACATCTATACTGCTTTGAACGTCCACTTATTACAATTCAGACAATGGGTAGCAGTTGCTATTTAGAAACAAAATAAACCATAGCTCAATAAAAGTGTGTCCTATGCCTTGGAAAAATATGTGAGACTTCTCAGATAAATGTTTAAATTCAGGGAACAAGACAAAAATAAATCTTATGTTATGAAGACACCACTAATTGGCAATTTTAGAAGAAGGAATCCCTGGCCTTTACACCGAGGATATTACAAAATGACGAAGGAGAAAAGAGCCACTGGCTTATTATCATGCATCCCTAGCTTATTATTCTTGACTTCACATCTCAGTCCTATTTAAATGTTTATAAAGTAAGACATATAATGTAATACATATAATGTAATGTAAAAACATTATAGCCCATCCATAATTAACCAGAGATATTAAAATATCCCATGAGAAGCTATCATGTACACCTAGGATTTATGTCTGGGCATTATTCTCATTAGTTTTTCATTTGGGTTCATGGAATAGAGTTTCCTCAGTTTCAAAATAAAAAATAGGTAGCTTTGTGAATTCTCATAAGGACCCAAAATGAATAAACTGACCTATAGCAGCAGGCTCTTTGTGTTAAGTATTATGGAACAGTACTATGTGATTTGTGTTTGGGATTTCCAGCATGATGTATTGGACTGTAATTGGAGATCGTTCTCATATAGAAGAAGCAGCGATGGATGGTACTTTGAGGAGGATAATTGTACAAAAAAATGTACAAAGACCAACAGGTACAGCTAAATTTTAATAATACATTATATATTAATGGACTCCGTTTCAGCTAAAAAAATTAAGTTATTCTGTGCTATATTGCAGCCTAGCAATAATCCTGATTCAGTGTTTTTTGTATTGTTTTCTATATGCAGCAAGAATTACTTTTTTTCTATTTTTTCTCTCTTGATGTTGCAAGTATGTATTTTCCACAGAATCATTTTTTTCTGTTATTCAAATGTCACATACAGATTGTACTTTTAGGATAACATAAGCTTGCAATGTATACAACAATATACAATATATATAACTATATAGTACTTGTTTTTTGATGCTTATTAATTCAGTCATAGGTGTCTGCAAGAGGGATTAAGTGGGGCAAATGACAATGATCCACCCAGAGTTGCATTTTAAGATAAGTAGCCATATTAAATAAAGAAATAAGAAATGAAATGTGCACCACAATGTTGTGACACATAGTACATGACTTACGTACTTCCATTCACTGTTTGGATCCAGTATAAAAGGTTGGGCAATGAACAGTTCATCCCGTTTCCATCATTTTGATTTGTGCCTGACTATTTTGATTGCAAAAGAAACAATTTTTAAAATTTCCATACACGGCAAATAAGTTACAGCTGCACTTGACCATTACATCTTTTTTAATTTCAAATATTTTATTATCTTATAATAAAATAAGGTAATAAATAAAATAAAAGCTTTTAAAATAAGAAAAATAAGAAAATCAATTCATGTGATATTTCCTTACTAACCTAACAGGTTGGTAAAATAGATTACACAACTGCTGCTTTCTGACTATTAAAATGAGCAGCATACAAATAAATCAATAATATTCACATTGTTAAAGTTCATTATACAGATAAATTAGTATTAATATTTTATTCAATCAATCATTGATAATATTAGATACAGGTCAGCAATTATCTTCACATATGACTAAGAAGAAAAATGAAGGACGATGTGGGAAATAATGCATCACATCATTCTTATTTGTACAGTAAACAATGTCCTTCAGTGTGATATAATCCTAACATTATAAAGCATGTAGCCATCAAAGCATTCCTTAAACTGGAATTTTACTAGGAAACATTTTTTAACAATATAACAGAGTTGAAATAACAATCTTTATATTGATCTTAGAATGTAGATGTAATATATAAAAGTTATGCAAGGAATATAAACATAAACTTTAAGAAAGTGGCATGAAAAATTTACAGCTTTTTGTAAGTACATTTATACATACATTGTACGAACTGTGACGTTAGATATCTGTACATCCTACATATATCTGTGATATTTTTACTATAGAATATTATACATAAGTTTCCTTGGCATAGAATGAAATCCTGGGAATCAGAGAAATACTGGAGACTTACAGTAGCAGAGCAAGCAATTAAAGAAGATTGTGTTTTGAATCCTTCTGAGAAACAAGACTAATACAATGTTATATTATTTCTGTTTTGCCCTTATGTACTAGAGTTGTTAGGAGCTATTATTATTCTTATTTGCATACATAAGTGTTCTCAGTATTGACATAAACGTTTTACGTATCATTTAGAGTGTATGAATCAAGTGCACTTTAAAATATTAACAAAGCAGTGGCAGACTGCAAAACTCTGAACAAACTCCGGTATTACTGAGTTTTTTTAAAGTTCTTTTGTCAAAGATTGAACAAAGTCTAAATTAAATGTCTGCACTGATTCTGGGAAAAGTTGGAGTTGATTTAAAGTACAGTAGATAATTGTAATGTTTGTGATTGTTCTGAAGTGAAAATCAGATGTCAAGCATAGCCAATCTTAGAATTAGAATTCAGTAATACTCATTACAAGCAAATTTTACTTTGGAAAATGTACATTGATTCCACCGTAATTAATGCTGAATGTGAAATCAATATTGCAAAGTGTAGTACTTTGTTGTGAGCAGACAAAATATAGGAATTCAATAATATTCAACTTATTTATTATGATCAATTCATTGGTTCTGGCTATATCTTCATTTAGTTACTTAGACATAGTGGTTTTATGAAACCTTATAATAGATTTATTTTATTAAATTTGTAGCCAGTTTAGTTAAATAAATGAATGTGGTAAGTTTGATTTTTCTCATTACATGTTTTTCTTCTTTAAGTTAATTCCATCTCTTTGCCTTTTATGTTTGTGATTTAAAAAATAATCCACTTAAAAATATTTACATTTTTTGTTCATCTTTTTAGCATACATTTTAATTTCCTTAATTTTTAGCATACATTTTCTACCAGCATCTCTTAATTTTTTTGTATCTATTTTATACTAATATCTGAATTTTTCTACTTCTTTGTGTATTTAGTGTGATGGAAAGCAGTTTTTCCTAAGTAGCATGTATTTCTGATTACCTTTTTCTAATATGTTCATTTTTTGCAACTGGGAACTGTATTAAGTCTAGAAACATGATTTTTAATTTAAATATGTAGTCTAGGATAGTGGTGGCGAACCTATGGCACTGGTGCCAGAGGTGGCACTTAGAGCCCTCTCTGTGGGCACGCACGCCGTCACTGGGTTTTATAAAACCTTTTCGCTTTAGGCCTCTGCTGCCATGTACAAAAAAAAAGGTTCAATCAATCAATCAATCAATTTCAACTTCTCGCTGGGAAGAAAAAGATCTTGCAAAGTTGGAATTGATTGATTGAACTTTTTAGTCCCACCCAGTCTGCTGTTACCACCAAAGCCATGCTCACCCAATGGGCCACACCCACCCGGTACCCAATGATGCATAAGTGGGATTTGGGTTGCAGTTTGGGCACTCGGTCTCTAAAAGGTTCGCCATCACTGGTCTAGGAAGTATTAAGGATGGAGGGGTTTCCTTCAAATGTATCCTTACCCCTAATTTAGGTCCTCTTTTATTCCATTAATGTTGTAACATCCAAATACAAACTACTATATAGGCAGTTCCTGATTTATACCAGAATTCTCTTTCAAAGACTTTTGCATCAAGCATTTGTTGTGTATAACAACTGCATGCTCAAACACTGTAGCCACTGTTCTTGTGCATCTTTGTGAAAGGATGGATTTAAGTATGTCAGGTGTTACATAACTATCTGCCCGCTGGGACTAGCTGCAGTGTTCTATGGAGAAATCCAAATCTAGAAGCACACCTCACCTATTGTTTTGTATAGTGATGTAAAGATATCTAGGACTAGGAGATCATTTTCTTATGCAGTGTTTTAAATTCAAATTATTAATTAATATGTTTACAGGTCTAGTGGTTGATAACTTCAGTCAACGCTTGTTCTGGGCTGATTTTGAATTATCAGTAATTGGAAGTATTCGTTTTGATGGCTCTGATTCAGTTATATGTGTTGGCAGCAAACAAGGTAAGTATATATTTATATATGTGTGTGAGGGTTCTGCTCAGTATCTTACCTGTTCCCAGCACTGCACTCTTCTGGACAGAGAGCTCTAATGTTCCCAGGATCTTTTGGAATCATTCTTTCAGCATTGCAGTCACAGCTCCGAGTGTTCACACCACTATTGAGCCAGTTCGACCTTTAGTTTTCACACTCTCTCTAATTCCTACTTAAGGCCTTGGTACTTCTCCAGCTTCTCAGACTCCTTCTTCCTGATTTTGCTGTCACTTGGCACCACTACATCTATGACCATCACTATCTTCTGTCCTGTCTATTATCACAATATCTGTGATAATATTGATTGGCCAGTACCTATCTATCCATCTGGATCTGGAAGTCCCACAAGATCTTAGCCCTGTTATTCTCAAAGGCCTTCTGTGGAATCTCCCATTGGGACTTGGGAGGGTCTAGCCCATACATTACACAGATGTTCCTGTACACAATGGCAGTTACTTGCTTGGACTGTTGAATATATGCTGTCCCTGCCTGCATCTTACATCCTGCCACCATGTGTCTCTGAGGACTGTCTCAGAGGTCTTTCTAAAGGTGCTTAGTGTCTGTTTTTGTGCTGCCATGATCAGTGCTTCAGTGCTGATCGTTATCTTCCAGTGCTGATCATTATCTGTTGGTGGTACATTCCATACAGAATCTTGTCTTACCGTAGTATTTCCTTCCTAAACTTCGTTCCATATCTGCTGCTGCCTCAGGAATTCTCTCAGCGGCATATCAATGGGTGCCATCTTACTCATGTAGACACTCTGGGTTTTGTTCTGGACAGTAGCTTTGACACTCCTCAGACTCCACCTGCCCATTTTCTGGCTGCTGTACAGTTTCTGGGTGTTGGGCTTGAGGTAGAAGTTTCCATACGTTATGAGGAGCTTCCAGGTCTTCACATTGACAGCCTCCATGTCCTTCTTGGGCCAATTCACTATATCGGCAAGGTATCTAATACCTGGCAGGGCATACGTGTTGATGATTGATGGTGTGGATCTTGTTCTTTTCATTGAGCTGGGTCTTCAGGTCCTTATCTTTTGATGGTATTTAGAAGTTGCTGTCTTCCTTGTCTTTCTGGCTGCCACGTGACTGTGGGATATCAAGGTACTTGTAGCTGATCTCTATGTCTGATATTTGACCTTCTGGTAGTTCTACTCCATTGGTATTAATTATCTTTTGTCTCTTTATTACTATCCAGCCATACTTCTCCAGTATGAATGGTATTTCAGGAGCCTCACTGTAGATCCATGTCAGGTGAATCATTGAATCAATGTCATGTTCACTCTTAGCATACAGTTTGATGTCATGCATGCAGAGGAGGTGATTGATGATATTTCAATTCTTGAACTTGTAATCTGTGTCCAGTCCTTGTGATTATCTGGCTCAGGGGGGTTCAACCCTATTTAGAATAGCAGAGGAGACAGTACATTACCTTGGTATATGCCACACTTAATGACCACTTGTGCCAAATGTCTTGAATTGATTTCCAGTATTGTCTTTCACAGTTCCACTGAGTTCTTGAGATAGGTCCTTGATGTATTGTTGACACTGTATAGTGCCAGGCATTCACAGGTCCATGTTTATGACATTGAGTCATAGGATTTCCTGAAGTTAATTCCAACTATCCTTAGATTGGTCTGTCTAGTCCTTAAGTCTTGGGTGACTCCTCTATCTATGAGCAACTGGTGTTTTGAGCCTCTGGTATTGTTCCCAATGTCCTTCTAAGATGTGCTCATATACTGAACCATATGAGTCCTATAGCTTGGTGGCTTTGGTACCTGATAGGACTTTCCATGTTGTGGGGAGACAGGTTATTGTCCACTATACAATATAGTGTGATGTGAGGCTCTTTCATAATCAGCATTATCTTTCCTTGTATTCAGCAGTCTGGATGGGAGTCTGCTCCTAGCAGCTGATTCCTCTGTGCTGCTAATCATTCATGCATTTTTGACAGTAGATGTGAATAAGGTCCAGGCCAGATGCTGTCCAGCAATTCATATTCTCGATTCAATACTGGATGTATAGTAGTATGGTGGTGACTAGTTCTTTTTCTGGAATCTTGCTGTGGTCTGCTCTCAATTCCTGCAGACACTTTGCACTAATGTTATGTATCTTTTCTTTCTCCTATATCAGTGATGGCAAACCTTTTAGAGGCCGAGTGCCCAAAACTGGCCCTGCCCCTGCTCCACCCCCTCCTCTGCCCCCACTCTGCTCCATCCTGCCTGCCTGCAGGGCCACTCACCGCCTCCAGGGCCCACTGCAGATTGCCCAGGCAGCCCAGTGCGCCATGGCGGCCATGCCCTCTGCCAACCCCCTGCAGCATCAACTGTGCGCATTGGGGCATGAGGGCAGAGTCTTATCTACGCTGCCTGGCTGCCATGTCCTTGGCTGCGCTGTTCCACATGGGCCACGCTCAGGGGCGACTCTCCTCCAGGGAGGCTGCTGGTGAGGAGGGAGTCGCAGGTGGAGGCAAGGCTGGGGCAACGGCATGGGTGCCCACAGAGAGGGCTCCGAGTGCCGCCTCTGGCACCCGTGCCATAGGTTCGCCACCACTGTCCTATATGTTCTTTCAGTTTTGTTCAGTTTCTACCATTTGTGTCTCTGCTGTTTCTGTATTGTTGCATTGCAGTTGGGATTATGTTTTAGTTGGTTCTTTGGAGAACAAGACATTTATCTTCTTGACCTCTGCTTCTCTAATATATCTCCTTAACCTAGTAGCCAGTGCTCTAAGACCTTGTTTAGCAGTCTCTAGGGCTTCACATGGAACCAGGAGCTAGTATTTGTTTTCAGTAGCCAAGTAGTTCCACCAGCTTACTAACTTCTCTCCAAGCTGCTTTGATCTTAGCCTCTATCCTCATTTCCCAGGAGATGGGAGTGAATCTACCATTTCTTACCTTGAGGCTGTAATGTATACAATTTATTGGTTTGCGTTACTAAGGATTGTTGTGAGGGCTCTATTGGCATTTTCAGGTATACTATCTGAATATACTTCTCCACTGAGCATTAGTAATCGGTCGTGAGGTTTGATTATTTAACTAGATTATAAATTTTAAATTTACAAATAAGCAAAATAAATTAAGATAACTGGAGGTTCTTAAGGAAAGAGCCTTTTGTCCAGAATGGTATAGGGGCTCTTGCCTGAGTTACGTGTTGGACTAAAAGACCTCCAAGGTCTCTTCCAATTCTGGTATTCTATTTATCCATGATCTTGTGCCTCATATAAACTTATGTGTTTTGTAATATAGGCAAAGTCATTCTACTTTTAGGCATTGGCTGCACATATACTTGTTCTTCTGGGTTTCCTTGAGTCCAGGATGTAATGTTTAATTAGCCTATCTAGTTGTCAGAACAGCAAATTTCTTCACTATGCTGAAGCTTGGGTCACTGGCTGTTTCTCAGTTTGTGTAGATGTAGGTTTTCTTCCTACGCTTCATCTCATTACATCTGCTGTTGTAGTAGCATTCCATCAATTCCAGATCCTTTTGTTTTGTTTATTCATGGTTTGTTCCAATAACCTATTTATTGTCAGATTGTCCTGGTTCCCCAACATCTGATACAGACCTTATGATACTTCTAGGCATTATCTGAGCCATTATGACTCTCCTAGTTTGTGACTCTCATATCTGAGGTAGGCAGGTGAAGTGTTAAGGAGTCTTTGCCTAAGGACCCCTACTGGTAACGTGTATTCATTTTTCAGTTGAATTGTACAGTTTATATGTTGTATTAAAGCTGTAAAAAAACTGAAGTGATTTATTTTGGTCTGATTTTTTTACTTCTCAAAAGCCTGGCATTTTAATGGGGGTGTGTAGATTTGTTTTAATGTCCACTCCATATATATATGTGTGTATGTCTGTGTGTGCGTGTGCATATGCATATCCCCAAGATCTGGTTTTCTCCTAGAGTTTTTTAAAAATTTCCAACCAAATTGAAGTCAATGAACAAAGGGACAAAGGATTATTCTTTATTGTAAGGTTTATAGGATTTGGTATTTTTTGATGTCTCTGCATAAGTATTAGAAAATGATAACAATTAATACCTTTTCTATTTGAATTATTTTAGTTGAGGAAACTTTCTGTAATGTAAAAAGTAATTCAGATTCTCCATATGTTCTGTTGATAAGAACTCCCTGTTCAGAAGAAAGAAAATATAAATGAATAGAAGTATAAAAGCTTTACCCTTCCTTTTTGTTGCTTTGCACCCTAAAAATACTGAATAATGAATGCTATAGTATAATTACATTTGTTTGTATGTTGGTAGAGAAATGTCACATCTAAACTGAAATGTGTATTTCTTTTTACTTATTTAAGGCTTACTACATCCCCATAGAATTGATATTTTTGAGAACTATATATATGGAGCTGGACCTAAAAATGGTGCATTTAGAGTGCAAAAATTTGGCCATGGTATTGTAGAATATTTGAACTTGGAGACTGATAAAACAAAAAGTACCTTGATTTCACATCGCTACAAACAAATACACTGTGAGTATATTTTATTACTTTCAGGAAAAAAATAAAATATTTTATTATTCAAAATAGCGTACAAAGTAAATATATAACTTATTCACTCCTTCTCATGCACATAAGACTTTAGGGACTTAGTAAATGAGCTATTTGGGAGAACTTGGGATAGCATTAGGAATAAGATTTTTGGTGATGCCTGAAGTAATCCCTGCCATTTTCTTGGCAAAGTCTTTCAGAAATGTTTTGTAATTGCCTCCCTCCTAGGGAGTGACTGTCTCAGGATCACCCATCTGGCTTCATAATTCTCCCAGTTTCTAATCTAAAGTCTTAACCAGTACATGAAACTGTTTCTTGTATTTGAGTTTATGGCTCCCATAAACTATAGGAAACCAAATTGCTTACCACTTCTTGTCTGAAAATCCATTTATGTCCTTGAAAACAGAGGATCAGGATTTGTTTGAAGTTGTTCCCTTTTCTTGTATTAATGGGATTGAGGGACAGGCTCAGGGCTAAATCTAATGTCTATACTGTAAGGGCCTTGCTTCTTAATTCATTATTTATTTGAAAAATAATCCATATTATGCTTCTTTCTTTTCTCCTTCCAAATAGCTCTCAATCCTTGTCTGCAGTTAACCTGTGAGTTCCTGTGTTTACTCAATCCTTCAGGTGCAGCTTGCATATGTCCAGAAGGAAAGGCAATGTTTAATGGAAAATGCAGTGATTTGAACGTATTAGGTGGGCATTGACAGTTGTTTAAGAACTTATTCTTATTTGAAGTAATTGTAGATGAGTAAATAATGCTAAATTCTCTATTTTTATATTTCTTTCAATGTCTGAAATCTAAGTAAATGAATACATTTGAATAAAGTAAAAATGCAAAATGATATTCATTTTGATTAGTACTTGACTTCTAAATTCTTGGCTTTTAAAGTTAAATCTACCTAAAAGTTGCATTCTATGATCTGAAGTTCCCTCTCACTAAGTTTACATATTTTAAATGACAACAGCACTTCTCAATTCTGTTATTTAATTATATACTATACTTTTGCTCTTCTACAATCAAAAACCTTGAAGCAGCTTACAGGTTACATAAACAAAACATTCATAGTGAGGTTAAAACTAATCAAATTAATCACAACAATGATAACAATAACCACATCAGTTTCCACATATAAATATAAAGACACAAAGTTGGCAAAGAAATAAATATTGCAGTTTACTAACATGACAATTGGGAGTTGCATATCCTGTACATCTGGACATTATCAATTTTGGAAAAATCTACTTTTGTTATGATGCTGCTATACAACATTTTAATTCAACATCCATGCACCAATCTGCTGTACCAATTACACTAAGATTAGATTTGTGCAAAGAATTTACAAAGAAAACTGGCACAAACAAAACACTTATATTCATAGCTTTAATACTTTAATACTCGAAAGCTTGGTAACTTTCACAGCTCGGCATGCCAGTTCCCCATAACCAATCTTTTTGCCACTAATTCCAATTGAAGTGTTACCTGCACATGTAGAACGTTAATTCAGAATACCTAGGAGAGACTTCAAAGGAACTATGTCAAGGTTATTGGAGGTTAGTGCTACTTCAGTGCTTCAAGAATGATGTTTTGCTTATACCAATGTGCTGTATGACTTATTTAGCTGAGTGTTTTGCAGAACTCTACTAGTAGCAAAGCCTTGAGCTGAAAAATTCAGCTGAATATGTTGTTCATATGAATTCTGAGCAGCAAACAAGACTGGATGGCTGCAAGGGATCTTGTATCCATTAATGCTCTTCTATGCTAGCAGTTTTTTTACTCTGGATGAACAATGATAATGATAATCATCTCCTGTCATGACCTTTGTGTTTATATCTTAAGTACAGATGAGACTTGTAAGCTGGCTTGTGAAAATGGAGGTAGATGTGTTATAAATGAAAAAGGTGACCAAAGATGTTATTGTTGGCCAAGTTATTCAGGAGACAGATGTGAAATTAACCATTGTAACAATTATTGTCAGAATGGAGGAACATGCATAGCTTCAGTTCTTGGTAAATATTTTTTTTAAAATTTTCTCTATTTATTTATATATTTATTTATTGTAGGCAATGGAAAACAGTTATTCTGTAGTTATATCATTACTATTAGCCATTAAAATTTCTGGGACTATTATGACTAAAGCATAAAGCACTAAAACCCATATGATTTTGATTTTCTTCTAGAAAAAAATGATAGTGACATGTAGAAAATTTGCTAGGAATGGCTTCCTTTTTCCCCCTGCAGTGTGAGAGTGTAGAAACCTCACATCCAGTGTCAAGGGTTATATGGCAGATTTGACAGAGGAACTGCAATTCAGGCACTCATTTTTCCTCTTACCAACTATAAACATAATGAGAAATATCCAAGGATTTACAGTTATTCCTCAAAATTTGCATAGTTCTGATCAATTAGATCATTCTAATCCAGCTACCTGTTCCATAATTTATGTTAGATAATTTTACATTATTTTTGCAGTGGTCAATGCCTGTAATAAAGATTTTTATTTGATTTAATATTTTTGTGTTCCATGATGAAAATGTTAGCCTGCTATTAATGCCAAATTGGTCATGAGGGGCCAGTATAGCTAATTTTAAAGTCACTCTCACCTAAAGTAACAAATTGAGGTATTGAACTTGAAGAACAATATGGTGTTTCTACCTCTCTTCAAATGTGTCTCATAATATTAAAGACACATGAAATTGTTTCTTAGAAGCTGATTAACCTGGCATATTCAGCAACTCAGTGCAGACAAAAAAAGCAGAGTGAGATTGTCTAATAAGCTGAATGTGCTCAACAATCATTAAAACATAACATGAGACTGCAGTTCTTTTTAATGTATATTTAACTCCAGGATACAGATAACTATGTCAGAACATTAACTGAGAAGAAATGAGGACAGCTATATGGTCTCTTATAATGGAAATAGAAAAGATTATTCTTNCAGAGGTTACTACCATAGTCACTACCTGTAGAATAGGGCAAAAGTTGACTGATAAAATATTCCTGCATTGGTAGTTGATTTTGTGTAATGGGTTATGCTCTTAGATTATCTTAAAAGAGAGCTGAAATACATGCCACCCCACTCAGTTTTCCCTTAGTTTACTAAATGATTGTGAGAGTATATTTCATTGATATCCTGTTAACTATATTGGCTGGCCAATAAAGGTTGTAGGAGGATTTGGGTATAGTATTTGCACTTAAAGCTGTACTGAATTGGGCATGTAAGGAGGCTAAATAAAACTAACACAACAGTAAGAAGGTTAAATAAATAACAAGGTAACACAAAGGCAGAAAAAAGGATAGAAAAATAGGCATAATTACCCAGAACAGAGAAGCTAGAAACAAGGCTAAGAGCAAAGCACATCCACCAACAAAAAGAGGGAGTTTCAAACAACAAACTTATGGAACAGGTGACTGATACTATTGTGGTGTGCAATACATGTTCCATGTATGTGATCATGACAAAAGAACACCCAAACTATGCATGCATTAGATGCAATTTATGTGAACTACTACAGGAAAAAGTTAGAAACTTAGAGGCAACTCTAGCCAAACCCTAATGTGTGAAAGAAAGTTCCACCCAAACTGAACCAAATAACAAACAAATAACTCTCAGAGGATTTGACCCTACTGATAAACCCTTGGAGGAAGACAAATGGAGGTATGTCACACACAGAAGGAAACACAATACTCAAAGAAAGAAACAACATACAACAAATAAACTCCTTCTGCCCAATCCTACCCAACCAGAAGCAGCCCCATTAAAACTGAGCAATCAATTTCTCCCCTTAGATGGAAACATGGAGACCCATAACCCCCTCCCTCAAAGAACACATGAAGACACCTAGCAAGGAAACAACTTCAAATATCCCTAAAAAAGTCACTTCAAATATCCCTTAAAAAGCCACATCAACAAACACACCTGAGATAAACAGAAAAAAACCCCAGACTGTAGCCCCCTCCCCCCAAAAAAGAAAGGAGAGTGTTGGTAATAGGAGATTCTATCCTCAAAGGAACAGAACCATCCATCTGCAGGTCAGATATACAATCCAGGGAGGTATGTTATCTCCCTCAAGCAAAAATCAAAGTTGTGGCTGAGAAGCTAACCAAAATAATTAGGCCTACAGATTACTACCCCTTCCTCCTCCACCACATTGGGATGAATGACACAACAAACAACCTGAGTACAATAGTGAGAGATTACAAACAACTAGGCAATAAAGTTAAGAAGCTAGGAGCACAAATAGTGTTCTCATCAGTACTCCCAACGAAAGGCCAACACCCTTTGAGGGGAAATTTTTTTTAGAAATAAACCATTGGCTAAAGGGTTAGTGTCGCCAAGAAAACTTTGGTTTCCTGGATCATGAACTGCATTTCCTACGTGAAGGACTCTTGACAAGGGATGGGCCACACCTCACAAAAACAGGCAAAAATGTACTTGGAAAAAGACTGGCCCAACTCATCAGGAGGGCTTGAAACTAAAACTGAGGGGGAAGGGTGACCAATATCTAGAATCGCTAGAACCCAAAATCAATCACAAATCCCAAGAAAACAAATCAAACAATGAGGTAGGCAGTGTCAAGAAAAAAGAAAAACTCAAACAACAATCAGGAGATGCAGGAAACATACCCATGGACAGGCATAAAAGTCTTAAATGCTTACTGTATTTTTCCGTTTATAAGACGCTATTTTTTCCTGCAAACACCCTGTTCAAAAATCAGGTGCGTCTTATACAAGTGCAGTGGCTTATACACGGAAAAATAATGGTAACATCCGCAGCCCAGGCCATGCCTGTGTGGGTTGCCATGCCTCCTGGTGCAGGTGTCAAGCCCCTAACAGGAGGGGGAGGGGGCAAGATCGTCACCCGGGCGAACTTCCGGATTTGCCGGCTCAGCTGTTCAGCGCTCCACCAAACAGCTAATTGGTGCGGAGAAACGGAGATAAAAGAATTGTAAGTTTTAGACTCATTATCTGTACACAAATTTTAATTAGTTGAATAAATTCCACTGGCAAATTGTAGATTTAGTCATTGTTTTCTTATAGTTTACTGTTTTGGGAAATTCCATTGTGGATCTTATGGATAGCTTTAATTAAAATGTGTATTTTTTTTCAGATTTGGTAAAATAATATCTGAACACAGAAAATGTCATCTGTTAATTGAAACATATATATGGAAAATGTAATTAAAACTCAATAATATGAGCTGTTTTCAGATAAAACAAATTATTGTAATGGATTTTAAAGAAATTATAAAAAGCAAAATCAAGGGTTTTAAATTATATAGTCCTCATTCATTGACTACCTCATGCAGTAGCCAATTACAGTTATAACAATGATGAAAAAGTAAGTTTATGGCCAATCCTTGCAATTATGACCTTTGCAGGTCTCTAACACACATAATTGCTTTGCTTAACAATCAATTTCCAGTCCAAATTACCATTGCTAAATGAGGATTACTAGTAAATGTGTTTAAAATATTTATAGACGTCATATGATGCCAATTGATTTATCTATATTCTATAACATATCAGTATGAATCAGAAAGGTGTACATAAGTAGAGCTACCCTACCAGATATTTCATTTTGTCTTGTAGGAAGACCTGCATGCATCTGTACACTGGGGTTTACAGGTCCAAATTGCAATAAAACAGTCTGCGATCATTTTTGTCAGAATGGAGGAACGTGCACTATCACTGCTGGAAATCAGCCCCACTGTCAATGTCAACCTAAACATACAGGGGACAGATGTCAAGACTGTAAGTACAGAATAAATGGAGTATAATTAACAAAAATCAGAACTGAATTGCTATTTTTCAGTTTTTAAAAGCAATCATTTGACAACATACTGTACAGTACATCCAGAATATATATATAATGGTTTAGTTGTGTGTGTGTGTGTGTGTGTGTGTGTGTGTGAGAGAGAGAGAGAGAGAGAGAGAGAGAGAGAGAGAGAGAGAGAGAGAGAGAGAGAGAGTATAAAAAGTGCTTTTTCATTCTGACACTACCTTATTCTTTGAACTGTATTCCAGGTGTGCTGTGTACCCTTATGAAGAATAAATGAGAATACATACGCACACACAAAAAGTCTTCTTCACCATGAATTCTAATAACTTCTTCTTAATGCAGTGCAGACCAAAAATGAGAGAGAGAAGGGAAGGAAGTTTCAAACAATAGAATTATGAATAAATTTAAAAAATCTTCTTCTCTTGCTGTACATTTAAATAATATGTAAGGGGAAAGTGAAGACAAAGCACTTCTTTGAAGTTCAATGGCAGCACTTGTATACCTAAACTTTGATGTCATCTGAGTTATTAATAAGATCAGAGTTCCATTTATGATTTCTTAAAGTGGCATTAGATACCAGGATAATCAAAATGTTTGTAAAGAATTTATGGACATTTGGTATTTTATTACATTGCTATTATGAATTCTGGGGGCACACAAGAAGTTCTGCAATTTCATAGTGAGTACTCTAAAAGTAATCATATGAATGTTCTTGATGGTAATCAGTGACTCGTAGCCTGTTTCTTAAGAATATAACACAAAAGTATAGAAATATAGACCCCCAGTTTTTCAGATTAAAAACATTTTTTAGATCAGCGGGGTTATTTTTATGCTTTCTGTTAAACTTTAATGTTATGAAAATTATTAGCAAGGAAAAAGGTGGGGCATTTTAAAAAACTAAGGAAAGAATTACACATAATTTTAAAGCCATTTCAAAAGTTAAGATGTGGGATGTAGCATCTGGAAGTAATATATTAGATGGAGCATCTGGAATATATCCCTGTTATTATACAGTACTGGGAAAAATAAAATACGTTTCACTGACATTGTTCTCATCTAACAAGTTACAGTTCCATTTTCAGTAATACAGTTTGGAGAGGTTGCAGTATTCTTATCTATCCACGTTTGTATATGTATACTGTACATGCATGTCTGTATGCATGCACAAATACAAAGGTTTATATATAAAGAGCCTGAGACAAATTTTAACATGAACAAAAATACAAGGCTTAGCTTTTTCCTTCACAGAAAATGTGGGTGTATTTAGATCATTTAGGAAGAGGAAGTTAAATCGCTCTCCCCCCCCCCCGATTATTTTAGTGAAGCCAAGATTCTATAATAACTCAGTCAGTTTCCACTTGTCTGCTTTCTTCAGCCTTCTAAATACAATTGTAGCACCTACTCGCAATTTACTTAAAGCCTTAGTCTCTGTGGAGCCTAATCATAGAATTACAGGACATTAAAAGCCAAGGCATCTAACATTTAGGTTTTTACTGTCAGGTTCTATAGTTGCTACACCAGTCCCAGGAGCTACAAGTACAAGTGTTCAAACTTAATTTTGATTTCTCTGTGGCAAATATGAATCTCACCACCATGCAAGAATGTGATAAAGATGATTTTCTGAAGGGATATAATTTAGTCTGAGTGGATCCCAGCTGTTGCTATCAATTGTTCAATTGCTAGATACTTTCACTTGATATATTCTCAAGTTTCAATACAATAAAATATAAACGCTGTAGCTCAGGGCTGAACCGTGGAATCTGTGGTACTCTCTGAACTTGGTTATTTAGGTAACATCATCAGGCAATGAAACATCTGCAAGTAAACAACCAAGCTGAGCACTAAGAACTTTATAAACTACAAACCCTCAAAATGTTTATTCATTTATATATAAAATAAAATCCTGTTCCATATTTGATAGTTGATATATTTATAAGAGCCACGATGCACTTGCTTTTCTTTTTCAGCACCAAGTTAGTACCAAATTCAAGAATTGTCTTAAATCCGGTATTGTACTTTTAAACAGCCATCTATTTGATGTGAAAAATTGACTGATGTCATGACGGAAATCACTACTTATTAATATAATAAAATTTGAGTATATAGAAAACCCTGTAAAAAGTATTATATTATCATATTGCATTTAATAATGATATTATCTGCATTGTGCACATTTAATTTTATTGAAATCAACTGATCATCCTTCCATTTGGGAAATTATTAAATGTAATTTGGATATCTGAAAAACAAAGTATCCTTCATTGCTGGCAATTCTGTTAAATAAGCAACATGGATCCTGATATCAGTTGCTTGGAATTCTGAAAATAATAGATCACATAAATCATGCATAAATGGACATACAGATTAAGAGAAAAACATATTTACCTGAAACTTACCTAAAAACAAATTGTTTCAGTCTCTGCAAACAGAGGCAGAAAGAAATTCATTCATTCAAATGTAAAAGTAAAGGTGTAAAGTTATTTATTGTATTATATACTATTGTGATGCTTTTAAAATCTAAAAATATTATCTAAAATAATGAAATATATTAGATAACACAATTCTATTAATGAAAAAATATGAGAAAGGGATGATATTTATTTAGATTTTATAAAAGTGTGAGAAATTTTCCCTCTGATAGACAATATTAGAAAAGTACAGGATCATTACTTTGCAGTTGCAAACTCTTAACATGTATATAGGTAGTCCTTGACTTACAACTTCAATTGAGTCCAAAATTTCCATTGCTAAGCGAGGCAGTTGCAGTTATTAAGTGAGTTGTGTCTCATTTTACAACCTTTTTGCTACGGTTATTAAGTAAATCCTTGCAGTTTTTAAGTGAATCATGCAGTCAGTAAGCAAATCTGGTTTCCTCCATTGACTTTGCTTGTCATAAGCAGGCAGGAAGGTTACAGATGGTGATCACATGACCCCGGGACAATGCAACTGTCACAAATACATGCCAGTTGCCAAGCACCTGAATTTTGATTATGTGATCCATGGGAATGCTGCAACTGTTATAAGGGTGAAATTGATCATAAGTCACTTTTTTCAGTGCTGTTGTAACTTCAAATGGTCACTAAATGAATAGTTGTAAGAAAAGAACTAACTGTATTGTATAATAAGAAATGTGCTTTAAAGACATAATTTATGTTGTGATATTGTAACATTGCCCTATGAAAGGACTATAATGGTGACAGAATAAAGACATGTTCTCATTTTGAGAAAACTGCAGTTATAACACATGTTCTGAGCCACTACAGAACTGGATTGCCAAATTGGGGGGATCTATTCATTTTTTTCCTTAGATTTCCAAGAGTGGTTCGCTAATGCCTGTAAAAATATTTTGTTTCAGGGTTTTGTGTTTGTTTGTTTCCTTTTTGTTTTATTTTGTAATTGTGAAACAAGAATTGTGTTGGCATCAGGTATTCATTTTGTATGTTCCTTATGCTTTAGATCAGATATCATTCTTGGATAGCTGGGGAAGAGGAAAAAATAATGGCAAATATTAAAAAAAAAAATCCATAAAGGAACTTCCTTGTGATTTGAGAAAAGGGACTTTTAAAAAATGTTTGAGAATTTTTTGTCTCATTTTGAACATTTTTAAATAGATCTATTAGATTATACCTTTGAAATCAATAAATATAAATGTATACATGTGTACAGTTCAGTTATATATGTGTCCTATAAAGAAAAACTATTGTATTGCTTGATAAGTTATTAAAATAGCTATTGATTCAATCAATTTATTAATATGCTTATTAATATGCTTTTAAGAAGATAACTTTATTACATCTTATGGATGTATATGTGTGTATTCATTGCAGATATTTGCCACCATTATTGTGTTAATTCTGAATCTTGCATCATTGCTGATGATGGCAATGTAGAATGCTTCTGTCCTCTACAATATGAAGGCACAAAATGTGAAACAGACAAATGTGTAAAATGTCATGGAGGTCAGTGCATCATAGACAAGAAAAACGATGACATAATGTGCAAGTAAGTTAAAGCTGGGATAAATCATGTAATTGAATAGCCAGAAATGTATAGTTTCCATATATTTGTAAATATTGAGTAAGCCAATATTATTGTTGATAGATCAAGACTTTGCATTGTCTGCAACTACATTAAGCTGAGCGGATATGAATTAGAATCAGATGATTTTAAAATATATAAAATGAACTATTATTCAATCTTGTATAGAAATGAAAATTAGGCTACTATGTAAGAAATATGGTAAAAAAGAGAAAACTTTATATATCCGTTAATCAAAAATCTATTACATATCTATAATTGATTCAGTAGATTTAATGAAATCAGAATAGTATGCCTTAATGTACAATTTGCAGTAGCCATCTGTGCTATTGTAAAATATGTGCATAGACATTATTGTGGGAAAATATTTTAATTATACATTATCCATATTGTAAATGTCCCATAATAATTAATTTGTAGATAAAAATATTTATGTTTTGCCTTTCATGAAAAATTAATTAAAATCTGTATATGCCGGTTTTATTTCAATGGAAAACTAAAAGGGTAGAGAAAATCAAAATGTAATTCCAAACACACGTATATACAAGAGCACTATGTAGTGCACTTTGCTCCTTGAAATTGTTGTGAAAACTAACAGGAATTAAATTTTAATATCATTTTTAGAAAATTCATGTTAATATCAGATTTGTTTCAATAAAACTGATAAGCCTGATATTACTTTCAATTTTAGAATTGTTGCCTCTTATTAGCTATTGTAGAGCATATGAAGATCACATCTGCTGTATAGTATATTTTTCATTATTTTTTCTTTTTTCTCTTCTTTTATGAACAAGAATAAAATACAAAACAGAAAAATAGAAAAATGAACATCCAACACCAATAACAAGAAAAAAAATTCTTATGTACAAAAAAACCTCAAATATTATCATTAAACATTAACATTAAACATAAACATAAAAACATTAAATATAAAAAATCCACCCTGGCTGGATGCTGAAAATAAAAGATAAAAAAACCTCCCCTTACATAATGGGTCTACAAATAGTTATAACCTTATTTAACAAAACTACTGTATTAAATAAATATTTCAGATGAGGAAGTCTCTGTCTAATAATCAAGTCAACCAAATCTAACTACAGCATATATGTAAAAAAGGGAAAAAAGTCAATAGGTTAGCTCAACTATTACACTAATCTTCAAATCCCTCTGTTAACCATCTGTTATTGTATTTAACACGTAGAAAGTCTGCACACGGCTTCCAGTCTAGTCTGAGGCCCAGTGCCAGACCAAAACCCATTCAGAACCGGGCCACAGAAGTGGTGGGTGAGCACGCGCATGCACACACATGTGCAAAGCTGCATTTGTGAAAGTGGCACATGCACGTGAAACCATTTCCTTTCCCCAATACCACAACCCCATCACAATAGTCAACAGTTGGCATCAATTTTCATTTCCAATGCTTAGCAAGTATAATCCTTGCAGCAGTCACCATGTAAAGAAACAGTGTTTCAAACTGTTTTTCAATTGGTTTGTCCATAGTACCTAAAAGAAAAGCTTCAGGTTTAATTCATATTTATATTTTAAATATTTTCTGCATTATCATTATTTTGCTTATCCAGTATGTTTTAACATGTTTACAAGACTACCACATATGATAAAATGTACCTGGATTTTGATTACATTTTCAACACTTGTTAGAAATCCCTCTATATATTTTCACTTGCCTCTCTGGGATCAAATACCAATGATACATCATTTTATAAAAAATTCTTTCAGACTATAATTCCAAGTAAATTTTAAACTATTAATCCATACATTCTCCATTTATCTAACATTATATTATACCCAATTTTTTTGGGCCATTTTACCATACAATCTGTGACATATTCATCTTCCAAATTCACCTTAAGTAACATTTTATATACTTTAGCAATCAAGTGGTCATTTCCAGAACTTGATATCCAATTCAGATTTAATTCCTGCAAAAGAAAAACTTTTTATTAAGTTTAAATCTTTCAAAAAATCTATAATAATTACACCAATCACAAACAAATCCTTCACTTAGTAGTTGTTCTCTTGTTATCTTAAGTCTCCCTTTTTCAAATACCAATAAATCTTGATATGTCATCCATTTACATTCTAATAACATCTCTTTTCTATGTAGTGCTTCATGGGGTAATACCCAAATTAGCACTTTGTCAGCCAATTTTCTTTTATATTTCCACCATACATGCCTAACTGATTGTCTAATAATATGATTATTAAAACCAAGGTTAACTTTTACTTTGTCATATCACAAGTAAGCATACAACCCCAAATCTCAAGTCAGAACCTTCAAGGTCTAACAACTTTTAAGTTTTTCAAAGTTATCCAATCTTTTAAACATACCAAACAACAAGCATCATAATATAATCTAACCCAGACCTCCTCTTTCTTTAACATCCTGTAAAAGCTTATATTTAAATCTTTTTTATTTTGCCAAATAAATTTAGATATATCTTTCTGCCACTTTTTAAAAGAAGAATATTTAATCAATATTGGTACAGTCTGGAATAGAAGTAACATTCTAGGTAATACATTCATTTTAATTACTGAAATCCTTCCTATCAATGACAAATCTAGCTTTTCCCATCTGTTTAAATGTAACTTTATCTCCTTCCATATTTTAACATAATTATCTTTATATAACTTATAATTTTCATTAGTAAGACTCAGCCCCAAGTACTGTACCATTTTCACAATTTTAAAACCAGTTTTAATTTCCAATATCTTCAGGTCTTCCACATTCACATTCTTGGTCAATATTGTCATTTTTTATTTATTTATTTATTTTTAAGCCCACCATTTCTCCAAATATTTTAATCTTCCTCACATCATATTCAATATTCTCTAGCAGGTCTTGTACAATCAATTATTTTCGTTGCTTCTGTGTTATTAAACTCTCAGTGGGGCATGGCCGCAGTAGGGCATGAGAACAAAGAAACAGAGATGGAAATCATTCATATTTTTACTCCCTTGACAATAATGTTATTAGTGAGATAAATATCTTGTGTTATATAAATACACATGCTTTTAAGTTGTCAAGTTATTAACAGTAAGTAAAGCTATTGTTTCTGGTCACTAGTACTGAAAAACGAAATTGTCAACATCTATTATAACAACTACTCCCTAAGTCAAGGCCTCTGATCTTGCTGCATAATTAGTTGAGCATAGCAAACATATAACTGAACTCTCTTTGTTCAATATAACAAATATACAACTGATTGAGTAACCATGCTAAGTTAAGCTGAGCAGCCTGTAATAGCTTTCTTCATTAACCATGGAAAGTAATTTAATATGCTATTAAAAAAATAGAATGACTGAAGCACCCCATTCATCAGTAGTGGCATAGTTAACAATGACATGTTTTCCTCCCATAAATCATAGCTGCACAAATGGAAAAATTGCATCCAGCTGCCAATTATGTGATGGCTATTGCTACAATGGTGCGACTTGCCAATTGGATATAGAGACAAATATACCTGTCTGTCTGTGAGTATCATGAAATAATTTGGACATCTTTATATCCATGATTCCTAATGCCACATTGCCAATATAATTTCTTCTTTCAGAGTTGGATCATAATAATAATAATAAAGTTGGAAGGGACCTTGGAGGTCATCTAGTCCAACTCCCTGCTCAGGCAGGAAACCCTATACCATTTCAGACAAATGGCTGTCCAGTCTCTCTGATGCTGTGATAATGAAATTTTGCTTCAGGTTTGGTTTTGGTTTTGACAATTGTCAATGGCAAGGATAGGAGAATGACACCCCTAACCACATGATACTATTTCTATGTTATCTATTTTGATTATTATATATTATATACTTAGAGATGTAGGCATATTTATTTGTTGTTCAAAGATAAATATATATTTTATGAATATGCTTATGAATAACATTTGCAAGATTGCAGAAATAGTACTGTACTAAGGAAGCCTTTAAAACCTAAATTTTAAAATTAATTCTTAAATCATAGTTGTCCATATGATGTGACTTTTTGATATGTAATCTTTAAATATATATTGCAATTGTGTTATTATGGTAATTATAAAAGTACATTTCATTCTTGTAAAAGGTTCTGTATGAAATAAATATAAAATGAGCATCCTAATTTTAATGTATGTGAAACATTTCAATGTCATTGTCCTTAGAGTGCTCATTAAAATAATCCATAATTGTTCTGTTATAAGAAAAGATTGTCAGATATTTGGATGTAATGACATTCTTCCAAATTCATCATTGCTGGATGATGAATAAACAAATGTGTTTGTTTATTACAAATTATTCAAGAATGAAGGACTGCAACATGTGCTTCCATGAGAACAGATTATATTTGCCTTCATTGGGCAGGATCATAATTCTAATATGGGTGCAGTGACTGCATGTGGAATTATTAGCTTCCCTTCTTTGTTTTGGATAATAACCTGATAAATTGGGGCACTATTAAGTATAGAATGTCAGTGTATTCAATTGGTCAGAAACCTGAATCAATTCAGAATTTAGGTAACATTCAGCCATGGGTGTTTGAAGGCTAGAGATAGTCCTTAATCTCTCCTGGCCAGTAATTATCAGGCACTGCAAAGCGCCTGCTTGCTGTCTGCCATAATAGAAGAGGGATCAACTTGATTCTGTTGAATCCTGTGCCAGTTCTATGTTTCCCAAGCTATCAGTAAGATTTAATGAACACTAATAGTGTGGACTTAACATGATCAGTGGAGCATATTTGCTTATTGTTCTTTTTATCAGCTATGTATTTGCATTTAAAAGATATTCAGCAAAAAAAAGGTAGAATATTTATTTATTTAGCTGTATTTTACTGAAATTCTGCAGATGCTCTGTGGGGTTTAAAAATCAGCGCTGTGACCAGAAAGTGAACCCTTGTGATTACTACTGTCAGAATGAGGGAATTTGCACTTTAACTGCGTTTAATGAACCGAGATGCAAGTAGGTTTAACCTTCCACTTAATGCTGCACATTTTGTGATATCATTTCAGGCCACAGTTCATTGGTTCAGATCATGTACATCCATATCATCTCGCAACTTTTTCTTAATCTCAGGATTCATTTGTGTAATAAAATGTAGTTGTTTGAAATCTTGCTAATGACTATATTAAAAGATACAACATTGGATGTAACATTGCCTTATTATTAAGACAAAAATATTATACTACTATATAATGGAAGGATATAACATCAGGACCTTTAGAAAATAACCCTTTTCTATAAACAATGTTTATAGAAAAGGCAAATTATATACAAATTCATCATACACCATTCTAAAACCCGACATTCTAATTCTAGAATATGCTAGTTAATAAAACAAGTAGACAATTTGTCAGCTGTTGAAGTGATAAATATCTTTGTGAATGTAATAAGAAAATAATTTTAAAAAGCAATTATCACAATAACAGCAAATTATCAGAGCTTTCTTAATCTTTTCATTATCTAGAATTTATTTACCATTGTATGTGTGTTTCAGGAAGAAATAGGTTTCCTATATATCAATGTTCCTCAGGAAATTACATTCATCTTGATTAATTTTCCATATTTTTTTATAAATCATAGCTTTAGGTTGGTTGAATAAAATTCATACTTAGTTTTTTCTAACAGAACATAATCAGATACAGAATTCACATTCTATTGAGTTTAAGTTTACTTAACTATAAGCTTTTAGCCAATAAATATAAATGAGAGATGATTCCAAGTTCATGACATCAAAATTAGTCCTGTACTGGGCTCCAGACCAATTGTCTAACTGAAAGCTTACCTCCATGCAGTTTGTTAAGTTTTCTCATTGCTATCAGCATGAAAATTTACGTTTGCTTAAGCCAATCCATCTTCTTGCTATCTTTAAAATGTGGCAGATACTATATGAAAAAACTCCCATACAGAATCATATCCCATGTAATGGGAATTGATCCATTATCAGTTTTCAAATACATCATTACTTCTAGCAACAGTCAGTCTAGATCATTAGCCAAACTAACAGTTTCATGTTAGCCATTTAAGTTGCCAGTCATTTCCAATTTTTTTCCCAGTCTTTCCATGTTTCTCTAAAAATCCTCCTTTGCCTTGCCTTGCCTTGCCTTGCCTTGCCTTGCCTTGCCTTGCCTTGCCTTGCCTTGCCTTGCCTTGCCTTGCCTCTCTTCTCCTCTCCTCCCTGTGTTCAAGAGGCCTCAATGACTCTCAGAGAGCTAATGACCCACCTTCAAACTGCTAACAACCAGATAACTGCAAGGAATATATATCCTTCCAGTCCCTAGCATTCAGTCAGAACTGAGAATGCTTCTTAGATGAAAAGCAAAACATCTTCAAGAAAAAGCAAAGAAAGTTCAGTTGCCTGTTGAAAAGCACCTTTGGAACAACCATGACTTGGATGACTAAGAATCTCCTCAGACATATAGGAACAGTGCTGAAACCCTGAGGATTTCCATTCCTGCAGCACCATGCAGAATTTCCTCTCCATGCACAATGTGGAGTGGAAATCCTTTGGTAGGCTGCAGGAACATTTAAATGTCAAAGGCCTGCCTTCTGAAGGATTTGATCAGGAAGCCGAATACTCATGCTTTTTCTATTTTTATGATGCAGTTTGCATTTCGACCAAACTCTTTTATAGTATGTTTATTGTGGAAGAACTACTACGTGAAAGGCAGAATGGGGAATTTGCTTCTGTCAGCTCCTTTGCATGTACCTGATTTATTACATCGTTTGAGAATAGTAAATTAGCTCACATTGTAATTTGACATGTATTAATTTATTAAACGTATATCTGTGCTACTACAATGAGACTGTGCAGCTTAACATTTAGACATATAGACAAAATTTTGTGTAAACATAAAGATGAGATTTAAGATAATACTGATATATACTAATTATGTAAAATATAGAGATTTATTTTAATTTTGTGCTTGAATTTATTAAATAATTATTTACAATCTTTATATTTGTAAGTAGCCTACATTTAGGTTTCCTACAAAATGTGGTTGAGAGCTATAGAATATGGCTTGTAAGGCCTTCTCTTCTATCTCTACTATGTTCTGCATGGGGCTGTCCTTGAGGACCATCCAGAAGCTGCAACTGGCTCAGGATGCAGTGGGACATGCAATTTTGGGTGTTAGCACAGTTCACCTTGAGAAATAGTTTCTTATCGTTGCCTTATTTAATTTATGATGGATTCTCAAGAACAGACTTTGGTTTATTAGTCATCACTCTATTTAAGTATTGAAACATGGGGACCAAACATCAGTATTTTGTAGATTAGATATCTTTTCATGCTCTTACCAAGTTAGTAATAAATTTTATAAATTTAAGTACATATGGGCTGATTGATATGTCGTCAAGTCATTGTCAGCTCTTAGTGGCTACATAAATAAAATTTCTCCATGATAATCTTGGTCTTTCATGTTTTCCAAAACTGCATTCATTGCCATTGTAACTGAATCCATTCACCTTGCTGCTGGTTGTCATCCTCTTCTTTTTTCTTCCACTTCCCCTAGCTTTAGAACATTCTCAAGAGAGCTACAGTAGGTCTTCACATAATGTAGAATAATTTGAACCTGCTCCTGGTCATTTGTGTCTGTAGTGAGAACTATGGGTGGCTTTGTTTAATATATAATATATAATTTATAGTTTATTTTTAATATTATCTTTCAATAATAATTTGTATTTTTAAAACAATATAATATAGATAGATAGATAGATAGATAGATAGATAGATAGATAGATAGATAGATAGATAGATAGATATTCAGACAGACAGAGAGACAGACATTTTGCCAACTGATAAAAAGGTAAAATCTCCTTTAAGTCAATTAAATTCCTAGTCATTACATGGAATATCCATGCTGTTTTCCTGATAGCAATAGAGAAAAAAGTCTGCTATTACTATCTTCTGGTTGTTGCTATTGTTGTTTTCAATTTCCCCATTTTGAGATTTTCTAATTGCCTCCTATTCAAGTAGTAATCAAGCCTGATCCCACTTCACATTTTAAGATCACCCAGATCAGCTGTGTATTGCCAACTGATATACTATAACTGAAATAGAGACTTTGCAGTTTAAATATGTTGAGATAGTTGGATTTTATTTGGCAACATGCCTGCTATAAGATATGCTCAGGGCTTTTTTTTCTCATAGAACGCCCAGAACGGAGTTCCGGCACCTTTTTTGGATGGAACTTTGTAGGGTAGGCAAGGCGGGTTGTATGACATGTGTGAGTTCCGACACCTTTTTTTTTTTTTTTTTAGGAAAAAAGCACTGGATATGCTTAATGTATTATGTTAGAGATAACTTTTTGAACAAACAAAAATGAAATCAGGTTCTTAACATGTTTTAATGCTTAATTGATTGGCATTGTTTACAGCAGGGGTGTCAAACTGCCGGCCTGCAGGCCAGATGCGTCATGCCAAAACCACATCCACCCCAGCTCCGGCAATGGAGAAAAAGTCACGATATGTCGCAACACGTCACGTGACATTGCGAGTTTGACACCCCTGGTTTACAGTATGCTGAGAAAAGGCTAACTGTCTAGAACATTACATTTTATAATGCATCATTACAACTAAAACAAGTTACCGTGAGAAAATGCATTAATCAATTAGTTCATTTAATTGTATTAGAGCAAAAGTAAATTTAATAGTGTTAGAGCAAAAGTAATGACCGTGTTGTAGATTTTGTTTTCCTTCCTAAACTGAGCAAGAAATAAAATTAATATGTTAATGATGATAAAAACCACAGATAGATACAATCATACTATATAGTAATTAGCAGTGGCAATTTCTACAAAAAGCTACATAGTGATCACCTTTTATTATCTTATTAAGAAAAACTAGCTTATCTTTGAAAAGATAATATGGTCATGTTAAAAAGAATTACTTTTTTAATGCCATTCTTTGAGACTATAGTAAGCAGATGGCAAGCTTGTCTAATAGGGACAGTTCTATACTTTCATACTGTGAAGTTAATACAACCTTATTTTTGTAATAAAAGCGTTTCCATATATTCATTAGTCACACCTGCCAATGTGTTTATTATCATGTGAATGTTTCTCTCTTTCTGTATACATACATACATATATACATACATACATACATATGTACATGCATACACACAAACACACATACATACATGCCATAATAAATGTTCCTACAGTCCAGAATCTAGGAAAAAATCTTATTGAGTATGACATTTCTTATGAGAATATTATTTTGGCAAATACACATCACAATGTAAGCAGTCACTTTGAGCATATTTTTCATTTATTTTGATAGTTGTTTCATAGCCTGTAAATCCTTTCCCTCCCCTCTCACACATACTTTTAGTTTTTTCCCTCCCCACTTTCTGCCATTAAGGCAGATTGTTTTTTCCTATAAAATAATTTGAGATATTCTCTTGTCATTGAAGATAAGAGTGTTATTAAACAAAGTTGTTCCATGACATTATTTTGTTGTTTTGTTTTGCATAAAATGGACCTTTTACTTAAAGGTTATGTATTACATATCATACTATATAAAAGCCTTAGAAGAAAATCTGGGTAAAATGAGTTTTAATTTACATGTGTATTTAAACTGGAAAAATTATATGAAGGTTCTTCTCCTTTGTATACATAACATGTTAGAAGGGACATTTTTTTCTAGAGTTGTATAATATTCTTAAAGAATTAATGTTCAAAATTGTGGTGTTTCATGCATATTTTAAATGAAAAATTGATTATAGATGTCAGTAGCTGTCAACTCTTAGCAACCACAAATTTTCTCCATAAAAGTGAGAAAATGTACATCACTAATTATATTGTATATTATTTCTTACATATCAATAGTGACCTATTTGAAGATTTTAAAAAATTAGTAATAGCAATCAAATTTTATCTCAAAGATTATGAATTAAAGGAATTAGATTGTATTTGAAGTTTTAGAATGAACCTGAATGATTGTGACGCATCAGCACAACATTTCTATCATCTCATTAGGAATATAGGAAATTGCTTTCAACCAGTCCAGCTATTTGTGATTATCCCTCACTCCTGATGACTTAATCCTTTTAACAGTGTTAAACAATGCATGCAAAGGCAATAGTTTGCCACTCAATTAACTGAAGACATTTCAGACCTTTATTTGCATGGGTTATAATTAATGGGAGTGAAGACAAACAAAAAGATTTGAAGAAAGAAGTTATTTAATGGTAATGCTAGATACTTTTCTCAGTAAGCATCATTTTAGAAAAAGCAAAGAGGGGGTGCAGATTGTAAGCAGGTGCTGCTTTACAGCTTTTAATAAAAGAATATATTAAAAATAAATGATAGGTCGCCCCGTCTTGGAGACTCCTGATATTTACCTAGATCAACAGGAGACAACCTTCTTAAGATGGAAGCTTGGCTTATTGCAGAGGTAGTCAACCTTGGCTCTTTTATGACTCGTGGACTTCAACTCCCAGAATTCCTGAGCCAGCTAAGCTGGCTCAGGAATTCTGGGAATTGAAGTCCACGAGTCATAAAAGAGCCAAGGTTGACTACCCCTGGCTTATCGGGTATCCAGAGATAATCTCGGGGGAGGGGAACCCCTATGCTGAAACGACTGCAAAAACAAAAGCATGTTATAAGCCCAGAAAAAAAGAGAAAGCATAAGAAAAACAGGCTATATTCTAATTTACAGGGGTATAAGAGGAAAGGGAGATAAAATACAGTCAGGCTTTCAGGATTTATTACCATAGTCTATGTAAATAAAGTATAGTTCCAATCTAAGTAATGGAGTCTGTTTATTGATCTGGCCTACCTCGAACCGCTGACAACACGAAAGATCCTTCTGTGTGGCTCCCAGCCTTTGGAATGCAATCCCTCAGGATATCTGTTTGGCTCTCATTTCTAAGTATTTAGGGAAATGATAACATCACCTCTTTTGCCAAACACGTATTTGCTAACTACTTTAATAATTGATTTGATGTTTAGTTTAGTTGCGTTTTTAATATTTTATACTGCATTTTTTAGTCACTGCAAGCCCTCTTGGTAGAATATAAAGAATAACTGAGTATAAATGCAACAATAATAAAATTTTAATCAAAGTATTCAATAAATTAAAAACTAGGACTAGGTTATGTTAAATGACACAAGATGTTCATTTCAGGATAGTATGATCGAAATTTGTCATTTAATAAGCCTTTTAATTTTTATTTTCAAATTACAAAAGCAAGACCGAAGTAATTGTTACTATTATAATCCAGACTATAAATAAAATCTGTTTTGATCAACTATTAAATGAAGCTAAATTCATTTTAAATTTGATCATATTATAAAACCCAGCTATTACTTATTTAGCTAACTCTGATTACTTCTGTTTTGAAATATAGAACCATCTACTAACACTTTATAATGGCTTGTACTTAAATTTTGTTTAATTTTATGGTAATTAATCAGAGAATGTTTATTATTAAATGTTATGTCTACAATATATCTGTTTACCATAAAGTGAGTATAATAGTTGATGTTTTTGATCTAAATTAGTGTATTATCTTTATTTATTTTAGATGCCCTACAAACTGGTCAGGTACACAGTGTGAAAGGCCAGCTCCTAAGAGCAGCAAATCTGATAATATCAGCACAAGTAAGTTGTTTTTCATTAATAATACCAGCATTTTAAGCTATTTTTTTAATTGTAGGCAGTATATGTAAAATTGCGGAGCTCGCCGTCTTCACAGTTTCTGCACTTATGCAGAACATATGGAGAGAGAAAAGGAATAAAGGCTCAAAACTCATTTAACAACTGTCTCACTTAGCAACAGAAGTGCTGGGCTCAATTGTGGCTATAAGTCCAGGACTACCTGTAAGTCTTTTGTATAATTTCAGGTATCAAAGGAAAAATACGTTTTCCAATGCATGGGAGTGCTCATGTACAGTAGCACTATCTACAGTTTCTTAAACAGATATATCTTTTCTTGGGACAGTACTGCTTATTGGGAAGAGATGTACTTGATTTAAGTAATTGCAAACAGATATTACGTGAGGGTCCCTGTATCCGCAGAAGCACCTTTTTGCCTTTAAATGCAAAGTGCTGCCCTGCCTAGTTTATTAACTTTCAAGAGCCAACTAAGAGTTATTTTAGATTATAAATCAAAATACATTCTATGCTTGACAGTTGGGATATTTTATTCTCTATCTATCCTGTTGTAAAACTGATATAGTGTCATGACCGCTTCTACTCGGGAGCCTTTTGCTCTGCTATGGCAAACTAATGAAACAGAAATAGAATATTCATTGACAGATTTATTGACAGAGGTAGGGTGATGAGAAGATTGTCAGGTATAAACACAATGAATTTGATTTATTTAGTACTTATTGAAATGGGCGTGGCCCATTAGAAATAGTAGGTAGGAAAACTATGGCAACAGTACAATAAAGTAATGTAATATATTGAGACCTGGTATGTCATACAACTCTTCAGATAATGTGTAGTATTTAATGCAATTACTGATCTGTTTGTTAAAATGTGATATGAGCTTTACTAATCTTTGTTTGATTATGTATTTCTCAAAGTTAGCTTTCCTAGTTTTAGCTTCATAGTCATCAGAGGTATTTCAATTATTTCTTGTAGGAAGTATTGCAATCATTGTTCCTCTGGTCCTCTTGGTGACCTTGATTACTACTTTGGTAATAGGTTTGCTTCTCTGTAAAAGAAAACGAAGGTAAGTATTATTATTGTTATTACTGTTATTGTTGTTGTTGTTGTTGTTATTATTATTATTATTATTATTATTATTATTATTATTACTATCATGATCATGATGATGATGATGATGATGATGATGCCTCTGCTAAATTTTTGGCAAAAATCCTTTCATAGATATGGCAAAGAAGTTCCCCAAAATTGGCACCTGCCTTATGGAAATCATTTTCCCTGAAGTGAGATTGTCTCCATCCCTGTTAATTTTCTGTAACTCCCTCAAAATTTTGTTCTATCATCAGGCCTGGAAATGCCAAAGGAATAGTGAGTTTCTGAACTAGCTCCATTGCTTTTAATATACATTGCCATCTCCCTGTTTTTTAAAATCATATTAAAAATCATATTTAACTGTGTCAACAGTTTTTATATTGCTGTTTTACAGTCTTTTTTAACTGTGTGCCGCCCAGAGTTATGTTTTGTGAGATGGGCAGCAATATAAATATGAAGGATCGGTGGGTGGGTGGATAGATAGATGGATATCATGCTCAACTCAAAGGAAAATTTGTTTTACTTTATATTACTAACTGGAAAAAATATCTTCCCTTTATAGATCTTTGAGGCAGCAGGAACATAAAGCATAGTTTGTCTGCAAGGAAAAATATTACATTGGCAAAAGTTATGGACAGAGATTAAACAGAGGGGTTTTTTTTAAAAAAAAGAAAAGTATTTTGTTAAGTTTGAATTTGATACGGCAGTTAGACATCTAATGGATACATCAAACAGGCAGTTGAAAATAGAAAGAAATGAGGCATCATCCTTATAAAGGGAGTTACGAAATCCATGAAATGGAGTGATGTTACTCAGGGAAATATGTGAAATAGAAGAAAAAAAACCAAGTTCTTAAAAAGCAAACTCCTAGGCCAGGGGAAAGCAACCGTGGCTCTTTTATGACTTGTGGACTTCAACTCCCAGAATTCCTGAGCCAGCATGGCTGACTCAGGAATTCTGGGAGTTGAAGTCCATGAGTCATAAAATAGCCAAGGTTGCCTACCCCTGCCCTAGGCACTGCCATTGAGAAAGGGAATGCCAAGGGACAATTTTCTGGCAGTGTTATCCTTGAATGAGCACTTGTATATAAGTGGCATGTAAATATCTGCATTTCCCCCCACGATATAGTCTTTCAGACACAGTTTGGGAGTTTTTAGGAGAATATTTTAACATGTGATATTTTACACAGGTTTATTTTCTATTTTCCTCGCATGTATTATAGGACAAAAACCATCCGACGACAACCAATAATAAATGGAGGACTCAATGTAGAAATTGGAAACCCATCATACAACATGTATGAAGTGGGGCATAATCACAGTGAGAGGAGTCTTTCAGAGTTCACATTAAATCCAGAAAAGGTAAATGAAATATCTGCTACTTTGCTTCCTCAGTCGTGCTCCGTAGCAATGAACTACTGAGCTGGAATGAGATCCAAAACTGCCTGTGCATGAATGGAAGGAATATTTCAGTAAGGGGCGAATCTATGATCCAGCAGAGGCTTTTAGTGATCCAGCAGAATAACAGAGTTGTAAAGGAGCTTGGTGGTCTTCTATTCTAACCCCCTACTCAAGCTGGACACCCTGTATCATTATAGATAAGTGGCTGTCCAGTCTCTTTTTAAAACCCTCCAGTGATGGAGCACCCACAGCTTCTGAAGGCAAGCCATTCCATGGCTCCATTCATGGCTGAACAAGAGCAAGACATTATACTAGCAAAAGGCATCCCTCAAATCCTACCAATGGTGCTGCTTCAGGGGGTTGGGGGAGTAGAGAGAGGCCTTCTCACTTTTCCAAATAATAATCACCTCTATGAATTCCTGAAAGGAAGGCCTTCACTTATATAAAGTCTATGTTACCCCATTCCAAAACAGTACCTGAGTAATGGATTGTTTTTGATATGATAGTATTTTTTTAACTAGTCAAGTATAGACAGTATACTGTATTTATTTTCTTCTTCACAAAATGAAAATTAACTTGATGCCAATATGTTTCTGAATGAATATGTATAAATATAATCCTGAATCTAAGAAACAGTTGTTGTTTTTTTACTATAAGGGGAAAAAGTTGTAACATGTATTTTCGCTCACTAAGTGCTCACTCATTTCAGGATTGAGGGGGAGATGTATTATTTTTAAATCAGAAAATAAACTTCAAAACATGCTTTATTCAATGCAGGGCAGATACATAGGGGGAGGTCCCACAGTCTTCAAGCTCCCCCACACGGCACCACCCATCTACTTAAACTCTGATCTGAAAGGACCTCTAACAGCAGGGGTGAGAAACAGTCATTCATTTTCCATGTCATTCTATCACAGTGCTCTTCCAACAGTAACAAATGTTTCTCTGCTTTCCCACAGATAAAACACATCCCACTTATATGTGAGAAATTTTGACGAAATAATGATTTTTTCCTATTAACTAGGTCTACTACATTTAGGCAGCAGAAATCTAGTTAACTAAATTTCTGTTAGAATTTAGAAGCCATCTTGATTTTTTTGCAGCCCAGATATGATACCCCTATTATTTTACAAAAAAAAAACAAACTTGTGTACTCAACTTACACATTAATTATATTCCCATAATTAACATCACACCTATTTTGTTCCTCAAAAGGCAACAAGAATATGCCATGACACACCCAGTTTATAGTCTGGTGATACTTTGCTCTGCAGGTTTAGTAATTTATGGTAGTTTATATAATCTTCTCCCAGAGTCAAAACATACAAATGATACTATATTGGAAGGTTTGAGCTGAATTTAGTTTCATATAGTTTTTTGTTTTTCATTTCTTAACAGAAAGGTTCTTCCTTCAGGGTAAACAATGTGTCAAAACTTAGTTCTGAAAAGATATCAGAACTGTGTAAGATGAAAAGAAGAAAAGAACAGAACTCTTTCTTCTTCAGGTTCTCCATCTCTACCCATTTTCCCATCTGAACGATAAAACAATGTTGGCTCCACGGATGCTATAGAATTCCCAGTTTTGTGATGGACAATTCTCCAGAATACCCCTTTTTGGATTCTGACTTTGTCTAAGACTAGAGAAGGACTGCTTCAGTCTTTTTCTTAAGATGCAAGAACACATATTACAGTGGCAGGACTCTCTTCCATTTTAGTTTCAGGGAAAGAAATACAAAAAGTCTTTGGACTCCTTGGATGTTCTCCAAGGGATGACATGATGGCAGTCCAAAAGCATTTGAACCTTATATGTTCCTAAATATGTGCTTAGTTTTGATAGAATTTCATGCGCACAGTATATGCAATTCAAAAAAGATAGATGCACTCAAATCACATTCAAAGTATGTTTTAAAATAAAGCAATGAAACATTAATGCTGTCAGTTTACTATTTGCATCCATTATCTCTAAATAATGTATTGAAAATCTTTGAACTGTTTTAAATATGAGTGATATTGTTATTAATCATCCTCGTTGGCAAAGATGCATATATTTATATACATCATTTGTCATGTGTATTACATGATTTCTGTAACTGAAAATCATTTTACGTGTATTTAATTCTGCAAAATGACTCTTCGTAAAAAATGCTGGGAAATTGTTTTACAAAATAAAGAGTGGGTGATCAGAATAATGTAAGGCACTTTGTTATGGTTTTCTGCTGAGCTTCTCTGACCATCAGTTATTGTATTCTAGCCAATTTTATACTGTATGACACCCATTAAGGATGCATCTTAATTCTGTAAATATTTAATAGCAGTTACTCTTTAGTATGGATGCTTGGAAAAGTAGGCCTGGTTATATATGGCAATAATGACAATAATTGGGTTTGAAGACTGAAAATGTGAATTCAGTCATGAATCATGCTATGAATCTTTCCAACATATCTCTCAGTAGGCTTAAAAGCAGGGTGACCTTTGTTTATCTCAGTGTTTGAATCATGCTCTCTCTCTTAAGTTCACCAGAAAAGTGAACTCACACAATAGAGAATATGAAGCAATTTGTGCCAGACCTGTAGTCTGAAATTCTGGCTAGGTTTATAACTGAAAAAAGAGCACATCCGCAAAATGTTTTTCAGAAGCCAGTTCATTTATTTGGACAGGTGACATTTTAAAATATCTTAATTTTTCTGGTTTCAGATTTTAGGTGGGCATACAACAGAATTATTTCAACTATACACTTAGCTAGATCCTTTTGAACAGTACACTTAGAGAGGTGTACAATAGACTCAGTGGTGGGATTCAGCCAGTTTGTGCCACTTCGGCAGAACCGGTAGCTAATTTTTTGTTGCCCAGGCCCAGAATGGACTTCTGGAAGCGACATCCACACAGAGAACCGGTTGTTCACATATTTGAATCCCACCAGTGAATAGACCACTAGACCATGGGTAAGCAACCTCGGCTCTTTTATGACTCATGGACTTCAACTCCCAGAATTCCTGAGTCAGCTATGCTGACTCAGGAATTCTGGGAGTTGAAGTCCATGAGTCATAAAAGAGCCGAGGTTGCCTACCCCTGCACTAGACAATAAAATAAGGGCAGACAAATAGTTAAACTGGGCCAGACCAAAAGCCATCATTTTTTTCCATTTTGTTCTTGGCTGCCAATTTTATCACAACAAGAAGTCTAAATTAGAATAGGAATATAGTAATTTTTGTTTTCCATCAACTTGTATATATTGCCTGTGTATCTGTAGGTGAGATGTGGCTATCAGAACCAATACTTATGCGCCACAAAATTATTGTCCACAGAAACAAGCATTTTAGAGCAAAATGCAACATTTCATAAATTAAATATAAACTCACATCTTTCATGCTCTTCACCATGAAGCCCTTTGTTGCCCCTGAAAATCCATTCCAGAAGGCTGAAGTCGTAAGTTTCGAAGGTGCAATAAACAGGGTAAATTACTTCATATTAGGCAGAGGACGGTTGTAGCACTCACATTAAATTCTTGAATTTACAGTTTCCCTTCTCACTGCAGTATAGTTGCACAGTCTATAAGTTCTATTGATCCCCCAAACATGAATTTTTAGTGGTATTCAAGCCGAAGGGAGATACAGGCAAGGAGAAAGTTTAATTATTCAAGCTCTTTGCACAATATTGGATTTTACCAACATAAATCAAATAAAAATTGCTTTTCCATCTGCTCTTTGCATCACCACTCGGCCCTTTCATGCACATTGCCCTGAATACTGCTTTTCTGCTATACTTCTAACAATAGCCTTCTTGTAAGGGAAAAGCTCCATCTGAGCATCTGTTTTATGTGCCCTTGTAAGTCTAAATGCACTAAGTGCATGGTCTTTAAAACTTTGCACATAATATGTATGGGTAGAAATATACACATTAGTCCAAAGATAGTCAGAACATATCTGCTCATGTTACTTGCTTCTGTCTCTCTATTTTATTTAAAAATAGTTTGATGATACAACTGCTAATTCCAGATTAAGCTAAAAATAGAATTTGCTCTAAAATAAGTACCTTGGAAGTCAAACCATTATTATTTTGGCTCGGTAAAGTGTAAATATTGTCCCTTATGTTTTAATAGGCTGTTTCAAGCTTCAATCAACATTTGGATTAGGGAAGGGAATCCATCTAGATCCTTCCCCTTTTATTAATGTTAACATAGCTGGTGTTTCATTAATATCTCTGCTAGGGAATAGAATAAATTTATTCTACTTTAATCTACTTCCAGATGGGAATCCTTTGGGACTTGTCTAGCATAAACAATCATTCATGGTCCATAAAGGAAGAGTATGTCTATTGTAAAGCAAAGCATATAATCAGCTAGGACGTGTATGATATTCCTCTCCTCTGTTCCAGATAAATTTAGGTTCTCCCTTGTTGTATGTCATCACTGATATACAAAGGGTCTCAGATGAAATATTATAACAGCCCCTATTCCTTGGCTTAATAATCATCTCTTAGTGTCTTCTGATGTATTTTTATTTATTTATCAAATTTAGATAAATGTATGCATGTCATGTTCCTTTTCTGATTAGCATTTTTTTTCACTCAGGGAACTTACAGCAATCTAAAATAATAGTTAATATGTTTGTCTCTTTTCAGCCAACAAACTATTCAAATCCAGTGTATGCAAAATTATACATGGATGGGCAGAATTGCCGAAACTCCTTAGCAAGCATGGATGAAAGGAAAGAACTTCTTCCAAAGAAAATAGATATTGGCATAAGGGAGACTGTGGCATAATCCATTGTAATCTTTTGTATACTGTATAAATGTATAAAATATAAGGATTACTTTTCTATGTACCAACGGTATTATAATTGTTTTGGCATCAGCATTACCTCTGGATATTTTTTCAATTTGGTTGGTGGTTATCTGGGTCTTTCTTTTGCTGATGACTTGACTGACCATTTGTATGGTATTTTTATGAAGAAAAAAAAACTGCACTACAGTACAATTTGCAACAATGCTGCTGATATAACACACACTGAATTTGTTAAAAATTTGAAGAAATCCTTTGTAGTGTGAATATGGGCAATCTATTTTGTATGAATTTTTTCCTTTGGTTTTACTTAATCTACTGAAGACAATATCTGCACTTTTCCATTATATGGTCTGAAGGCTGTAGTACAGTGTGTGAATTCGTTTTTGTTTCAGATAGTGGAAGTATGATTGGGTTGTTTACTCTCTTCGTGCTCATTAGAAATTCACTTCAGAACCTTAAAACTATAGAGGAGCTAATTTCACAATCAAACATAACTTGCTTTTCAATTAGCTTTAGGTTGCAAAGAAGCTATGAGTACTATAGAAAACATCTAATGGTCTGCATGAGCACAGATTATTCCGTTTTGGAGATTCAGTGATTGTCCAAGCTATACTAAACATATATACCATGTAAAAATAATTCATATTTAGTAAAATCTTAGTGAACTTAGTGATATACCACTTGCAAGTGGCGAGACCTTAACAGATGTGTGAGAAGGCCTCTTCTGCAATCCTAAGAGGGCGTTACCAAGACTGCACATAGGTTTATGCATTTCTTTAATCAGTCACAGGCACACTTTGTGTATGATGAGTTTCCATATTTTGTCAGGAGAGCAAAAAGCCATAAGCACACATATGGAGAACCAGATTCTTAGGAGGAGGAGGAAAACTCAACCCTTTCAAAGAAACATTACAGCAAACAAGTCTTCATTCTTTTGTATCAATCAACACATTATTTAAAAGCAAGTGTGGATAAATTTTAAAACTTCTTCAACAAACCTCAAGCTCACATTCTCAATAATGGAGAGTGTAAAAATGTAATCAATTTCCAGCACTTTCTCTGGTATTAGCTTATTTTATGTTGTTATGAAGAATAAAAAGGAAAAAAAAACAAAATAAATACAACATTTGCCTTTTTTTAATTGTGGCAGAAAGATGTCATGCAATTTGTTTAGGATGTTAAAAGATAACCGCCCATGGAATCTTTTCTAAGCAACTTTAAGGCACAAAATATTTCTCACACTGGTATTCAAAGAACTAGAGGGCTTTTCATTCCTCCGCTACATGTTGCTGATTTTAGCTGTCATGATCTATTAATCTAACAGATTAAATACGTTTGTGGTGGCTCTATTCCCTTTGTACAAACATTGCAAAAATAACAGCTGTTTTATAAGAGAATTTTTGTTGTATTCTGTGCATGCATACTACCTATTTCTAAACTTTGCCATGTTGAGGCCTTTATTAAAAAAAAAACTTGATTCAAGTAAATACAGTGCAGTTTTGCTTGAACAATATTGTGCATATTGCAAAACTTTTCAATTTTCCAGTTTAAAACTGTTAGATTCTTAATTCCATTTTACTTGGTTAAAAGAGTCATGCCGCCTATATTTCTAGGTGTTTTATATATCTATAAAAGCATTGGCTTTCCTTTATTGAAATGATTGGACTGAGCACCTTAAATACACAAAGGTATTACATAAGCAACATAAACTAGTAACAAATAAAAATTAAATGAAGAGCATTATGCTACACTTCAGATTACGGTGAGATGTCCATTTAGTGGATTTTTCTGCAGTGGGCTTTGGGTGAAACAGATACAATTCCTGTTATATATTCATCATTTCACATCAAATGAAGGAAATGATGAAAATGATGTAGTTTGCCTGATGACACTGTAGGAGGATAGGGACCGGTTGCTGGCATGCCACGGCCTGGTATTGGTCCACGGACTGGGGGTTGGGGACCTCTGCCTTAATCTGATGTGAGGAATAAAATTCAACTCCAAGGGTGTTGGAAAACAAAACAAGTTTTATTGAAGCGTTTGCAAAGGCTGGTGGACCTTTCTACCTGCAAATAAAGGGCTACACTCAGATTAGGTCAGCATAAATCTTTATACCCTGTCCCATAGAATATGCCACATCCTTCTTTTCTAGACCCAGTTGATAAGTCCAGTCTGGTCACATGCTTTCCAACTGCCCAGTAAAATTATTAGACATTGCAGCTGTACAATTAATAATTCTCCTTTGTTTTACCTTTATCTTTCCCTTTTTATGTTTGCGGCATTCAACCAACTCAGCTCACAACAGGAGCCTGTTTGTCTAAGCTGGATGATACAAATGTTTCAACCCTGTTCCCTTGCCTATCTATACAATGTAACTAATGCCTGCTTCAAACCAAAAGTTGTGTATGTCATCACTTTAGCAAGCTTAAATACGGCTGCACTTTGGGTATATGATTATACCTTAAAATATTGGCTCTGAATAGCTTTTATAAAATATAAGTTAATCTATGTTATGAAAGATTTTAACATACATTTATTATGTACCTCACAGTGATTTTAGCCTATTTAGTCTTGCCTTGAACTTTCCACTGCTAATTACTCCATTAAACATTTAAGGGTTGAACTATATTTTTTATACAGAAAATAAAAGGTCATAATCTTTCAAAATTCACATCAGAGATATGCTACGGAGATTTGAGGTGCTTTTAAATATGCCAATTCTGTTCAATCCGAGTCTATTCTCCGGATGTGCTTGTAGACTTGGCATCCATGCAAGTGAATTCTTAAAGCCAGCAGCAGTAGACATCTGTGCTAATGTATTTCCAATTAGTCTATATTGTATCGGGAAGGACTCTTGGAATGACTTTCCTTTTAATGCATTGCAGCTCAGGAGAGGTTGTGAGTGCGGGAGCTTTTCACTGGCAAAAACTGCACATAGGCTCCTGGCTCAGGGATAGCCTCTTTTCTGACCCTGAAGATTATCTGTTCCCCTTCATCTTGCTGAGATGCTCTTCAATGTAATAAAGGATACCTCTGCATCGCCTCCAAGTAACTATTGCACCTTTTTGTTTCACAAAATTACTAGCCAAATGCCCCCAACAAGCAATTAAAAATTGGGAAGGGGTGACTAAAAATCGTGATCTTCTTTCTCAACATTTTGCAGTTGGTCAGCCATGAAGATGATGAGCGCTGCATTAGCTTCAAACTGTTTTGGAAGAACTGGAGTGGACTGGAAAGTTATTGCCTTATGGCAGTGATGGCGAACCTTTTAGAGACTGAGTGCCCAAACTGCAACCCAAAACCCACTTATGCATCGTTGGGTGCTGGGTGGGTGTGGCCCATTGGGTGGGTGTGACCCATTGGCTGGGTGTGGCCCATTGGGTGGGCGGGGCTGCGGTGGTAATGGCAGACTGGAACTAAAAAGTTCAATCAATCAATTCCAACTTTGTAAGATCTTTTTTTTTCTGTGAGAAGTTGAAATTGATTGATTGAACCTTTTTTTTTTTTTTTGTACATGGCGGCGGAGGCCTAAAGCGAAAAGGTTTTATAAAACCCAGCTGAAGGCCTAGGACTGGGGCGACGGCACGCGTGCCCACAAATAAGGCTCTGCATGCCGCTTCTGGCACCCGTGCCATAGGTTCGCCACCACTGCCTTATGGTTTTGGCAGTTTGTGGTTTTGTATAAAATGTGACTTCCCAATACATTCAAATTAATGTATTAATACAGCTATGCACATTCTTCAAAACAGAGGCTCCCCATCATAGAGAAACTGTTTCAAAGCAGCTTCTGTGAATCATTACAGCAGCTGCCATTGTTGCTTTAGAAGCTGCAATTGGCTGTTTCTAGTCACTTAGCTTCATGTTTTTCCCCAGTGTAAGAAAGTAGCTGTTCATCCACAGATGTGTGGACACGGCAAGGACAACTTCTGAAGCAGCTTCATGCCCCTGTACAAATGAGAGGCTGCTTTAATGATCTAGAAAAGAATGCTTCATACTTGCACCCATGCATTGCACAGCAATTTTTCTGCAAAAGTTGAACAGACCCAATATTTAAGGTAATCCTGCTTGTAATTTTTTAAATGAAACTTTTTTTCAGAGGTGTTCATCGTGATATCTCATTCAATAAATATTTTTCAGTGCTATCAGTTCTCATTAGTAAATAAGCATTAGATATAAAGGCTTACAAGATCTAGGATGCCAAAATCTGGAAGGTCATTAGATGGAAGAAATACACAAAACAGTAACTTTGCATCCCAGATCTACTAGCCAAAGGATAAATTACCTCCCAAGGTAATTTATCCCTCTTTATTACTAAAAACATAAAATTATTCTAATCTGAATTTTGCACCACAAGGAGAGATACAAACCTCCACAATTACCATGCTGTGAGAAATACTATACAAGTAACTAAATTTGGATTTACTAAATTTGGTCTTGTCATCCTTCAGATTTATTCAATGAAATGATTCCTTGATTTAAAAGCCCTTGGATAACATCAGACCAAATTTGTGTAGGACATGCCTAAAATCAAATTCATCATATTATGCATGCATGAAATACATAATATATGCATGCATAAAATCCCATTGTATTTACGTGTAAAATGCATAAAATATGTGTACTACCAATATATAATTTAATGGCATTCTTCTTTAACAAACTCCCCTCTCTCGTATAGTCCATTAAACTATTTATTTATCATAATAGGAAGTAGTCCAATATCTATGGTTAGAAACAATGTAGATTCTCTGATAGATATCTTAAAATATCTTAATAAATGTTTGAAAAGGCACTGCGCAACAGATTCAGTAAAACAGGAGGCTTACTCATGACAGCCAATTAATTATCACAATTGAAGGAATTCTAGACAAAGTACTTTTCGTGTTAATGTGAACTCTAATTAAAATTCATGTCTCATAAAAGTCACTTGACTCTCAATTATGATTAAGTATGCAAGGTCATTAGAACGCAATGAGAG